AAAATTCCAAACAACATTTCAACAAACTCACAATTACAAAAACCAACTGAGCATGCACAAAGGCTCCCCGCCGCAAGTCCCCGGCGCGCGCACATGGCCGGCCGGCCAACGCACCCTCCGTGCAAGCCATGCCCCCATCCTCCGTCACCCAGCCCCTACCCTCCCATACGCCCGCTTTCCAACGCACCCTCCTTCTTCTTCCCCCGCCCATGCCCCCCACGTTCACGCCATGCCCCCACCCTCCCCCGCCCCTAAATGCCCATACCCCAACCTTACCTCCTCCCCCTCCTTCTTCCCCCGCCCATGCCCCCACGTTCACGCCACGCCCCCACCCACGTTCACACCACGCCCCCACCCTCCCCCGCCCACACCCCCCACTCCCCCGCCCCGCCCCCACCCTTCCCCTACCCTGCCCCCACCCTCCAACGTTCACGCCAGGCTCTGGAGAACAAGCCCTATGAGGAGCGGCTTAAGGAACTGGGCATGTTTAGCCTGAAGAAGAGAAGGCTGAGAGGAGATATGATAGCCATGTAATAAATATGTGAGAGGAAGCCACAGGGAGGAGGGAGCAAGCTTGTTTTTCTGCTTCCTTGGAGACTAGGACGCAACGGAACAATGGCTTCAAACTACAAGAGAGGAGATTCCATCTGAACATGAGGAAGAACTTCCTGACTGTGAGAGCCGTTCAGCAGTGGAACTCTCTGCCCCGGAGTGTGGTGGAGGCTCCTTCTTTGGAAGCTTTTAAACAGATGCTGGATGGCCATCTGTCAGGGTGATTTGAATGCAATATTCCTGCTTCTTGGCAGAATGGGGTTGGACTGGATGGCCCAGAGGACTCTTCCAACTCTTTGATTCTATGATTCTATGATTATTGTTTTATAGTTTTTACATGTATTATGATGCGATTTATTTGCTTTTAACCGATGTATGTATTTATAGATGGCATCTCATTGTTGCCGATTTGTACGCCGCCCTGAGTCGCTTTCGGGCTGAAATGGGTGGGATAAAAGTGACGCAAATAAATAAATAAAATATGAAAGGAATGTCAGAGTGAAGATGAAGCGAACTTGTTTTTGTCCGCTCCAGAAACTAGGACGCAAACCAGTGCATTCAAATTACAAGAAATGAGATTCCGATAAAGCATGAGGGATAACTTCCTGGCAGTCAGATATGTTTGGCAGTGGAAAGGATTGCGTTGGAGGGAAGCAGGCTGTCCTTCCTTAGGGATCTTTAAGCTGAGCTTTAACTACGTATTCCTACATGGCAGAATTGGGTTAGACTAGATCAATGTTTCTCAACCTTCCTGATGCTGCGGCCCCTTAATACAGTTCCTCATGTGGTTGTGGTGTTGACCCCCCAAAAATAACATTATTTTTGTTGCTACTTCATAATTGTTGTTTTGCTCCTGTTATGAATCGTCATGTAAATATCCAATATGCAGGATGTATTTTCATTCATGTGATGTGGCGGCAAAAAAAGCCAATGGGATTTTGGCCTGCATTAATAGGAGCATAGTGTCTAGATCTAGGGAAGTAATGCTACCCCTCTATTCTGCTTTGGTTAGACCACACCTGGAATATTGTGTCCAATTCTGGGCACCACAGTTCAAGAGAGAGATTGACAAGCTGGAATGTGTCCAGAGGAGAGCGACTAAAATGATAAAGGTCTGGAGAACAAGCCCTATGAGGAGCGGCTTAAGGAGCTGGGCATGTTTAGCCTGAAGAAGAGAAGGCTGAGAGGAGATATGATAGCCATGTATAAATATGTGAGAGGAAGCCACAGGGAGGAGGGAGCAAGCTTGTTTTCTGCTTCCCTGGAGACTAGGACGCAATGGAACAATGGCTTCAAACTACAAGAGAGGAGATTCCATCTGAACATGAGGAAGAACTTCCTGACTGTGAGAGCCGTTCAGCAGTGGAACTCTCTGCCCCGGAGGGTGGAGGCTCCTTCTTTGGAAGCTTTTAAACAGAGGCTGGATGGCCATCTGTCAGGGGTGATTTGAATGCAATATTCCTGCTTCTTGGCAGAATGGCGTTGGACTGGATGGCCCAGGAGGTCTCTTCCAACTCTTTGATTCTATGATTCTATGATTCACTGGACCAAATTTGGCACAAAGACCCAATACACTCAAGTTTGAATACTGGTGGAGTTGGGATAGATATTGCTATTTGGGAGTTCTAGTTGCTGGGATTTATAGTTCACCCACAATCAAACAGCATTCTGAACTCCACCAAGGATAGAATTGAGCCAATCTTGGCACACAGAACTCCCACGACCAGCAGAAAATACTGGAAGAGTTTGGTGGGCATTGACCTTGAATTTGGGAGTTGTAGTAGTAGTTGTAGTAGGGCAAGATGGATGGATGGCATCCTTGAAGTGACTGGACTGACCTTGAAGGAGCTGGGGGTGGTGACGGCCGAAAGGGAGCTCTGGCGTGAGCTGGTCCATGAGGTCACGAAGAGTCGGAGACAACTGAACGAATGAACAACAACAAGTTCACCTACATCTGTAGAGCACTGTGGACTCAAACAATGATGGATCGTTATCAAACTTGGCACAAATACTCAATATTCCCAAATGCGAACAGTGGTGGAGTTTGGGGGAAACAGACTTTGACATTTGGGAGTTGTAGTTGCTGGGATCGAGAGTTCACCTACAATCAAAGAGCATTCTGAACCCCACCAACGAGAGAATTGGGCCAAACTTCCCAAACAGAACCCCCATGACCAAGAGAAAAGACTGGAAGAATTTGGTGGGTATTGACCTTGAATCTGGGAGTTGTAGTTCACCTACATCTATAGAGTACTGTGGATACAAACAATGATGGATCGGGACCAAACTTGGCATGAATTCTCAATATGTCCTAATGTGAATACTAGTGGAATTTGGGGGAAATAGACCCTGACATTTGGAAGTTGTAATTGCTGGGATTTATAGTTCACCTACAATCACAGAGCATTCTGAATCCCACCAACGATAGAATTGGGCCAAACTTCCTACTGCGTAATGATGTAATGTTTTGTTATTGCTTATGTTTTAATTTGCTTTAAATTGTATTGTTATTGTTTTGCTATTGTTGTGTTGAGGCCTTGGCCTTTGTAAGCCACATCGAGTCCTGCGGGAGATGCTAGCTGGGTACAAATAAAGTTTAATAATAATAATAATAGTAGTAGTAGTAGTAGTAGTAATACACAGAACCCCCATGGCCAACAGAAAATACTGTGTTTTCTGATGGTCTTTGATGACCCCTCTGACACCCTCTCACAACTCCCCAAGGTGTCCTGACCCCCACATTGAGAAACACTGGACTAGGTGGTCCATGTGACTGCTTCGAACTGTATGATTCTAATTCTACTCTCTGTTCAGGACCATTTCCTGCATTTTAGACGACCAGATCCTATTGTATCTTTATGATATGGGTTTGGGGGACTCTAGATATCACCACTTTGTCAGAGTCTTTTGTTCCGTTGTTTAAGTGAAGTGGCTGATGCTTTTGATTGTTATGAGTGTTGGAAACAACAGAACAGAAATATTAAGCCCTAAACGGTTCTGGCCCACTTTACCTGTCCGAACGCATCTCCTCTTACGAACCATCGAGGACTTTAAGATCGTCCGGGGAGGCCCTGCTCTCGATCCCACCCTCGTCACAAGTATGTTTGGCGGGGACGAGAGACAGGGCCTTCTCGGTGGTGGCCCCTCGGCTATGGAACGCCCTCCCTAAGGAGATTAGATTGCCTCCCTTAATCTTAACGTTAAGACATGGTGATATGAGCAAGCGTTTACAAATGCAGAGTAACTAACATAGGAAATGGAATCACTCGACAATGGAACTTGGACAACTTTACTTAAGTAGGAGACGCTGATGATAATGATATTGGCTTTTATTGTTTTTTATTGCTTATCTTGTGGTTTTATACTGTTTTAATGTTCAATTTGTATTTTGCTGTTATGTGTACTGACTTGTTGTAAACCGCTTTGAGTCGCCGATAGACTGAGAAAAGCGGTATACAAGCATCTATATATATTTAAATGCTCTGTGCATAATGAGTACCTTAAAAACAAAAGAACCAATGTATGAAATCACACCAAATTTGGCAACAAAACATCTCACAACACAAGGAGTGACCATCACTCAAAAAATTATGATTTTGTCACTTGGGAGTTGTAGTTGCTGGGATTTATAGTTCACCTACAATCAAAGAGCATTCTGAACTCCATCAACGATGAAATTGAACCTAACTTGGCACACAGAACTCTCTTGACCAACAGAAAATACTGGAAGGGTTTGGTGGGCATTGACCTTGAGTTTGGGAGTTGTAGTTCACCTACATCCAGAGAGCACTGTGGACTCAAACATTGATGGATCTGGACCAAACTTGGCACAAACACTCAATATGCCCAAATATGAACACAGACAGAGTTTGGGGGAAATAGACCTTGACATTTGGGAGTAGTAGTCACTGGGATTCATAGTTCACCTACAATCAAAGAGCATTCTGAACCCCACGAATGACAGAATCGGGGCAAACTTCCCACCCAGAACCCCCCTGACCAACAGAAAATACTTAAGGCCATCCAGTGCAACTCCCTTCACCAGGACAAGAAAACGTAATCAAAGCCCTCCTGACAAAGAGCCATCCAGCTATAGATATGATTCACACACACACTAATATAGTATCATAGATTTGAAAGGGACCCCTAAAGAAGGACAATGATATGTTGCATGTTCCAGAGTAGGCAAACCAGACACTCTCCACATCAACACTGACAAAGAGACAACAAGAAATACCCACGAGCATCAAGACATTTTATATATTAGAAACCAACACTTTCTCATTACTTTATTTTCCATATCAACAGACTAGGCCACAGCAACGTGTGGCAGGGGACAGCTAGTAGTAAATAAAATAAATAAATGTCTGAATGAACGAAACCACAACACTTTCCCCAAAGGGTCACTCAATCTTCCTCTCTCTCTCCCAATCTCTCCCCACACGCAGGCCGCCCTCGTTGGGGGCACCACCATGGTGATCGGGCATGTGCTTCCAGACAAGGATATCTCCCTACTCGATGCTTATGAGAAGTGCCGCAGCCTGGCCGACCCCAAAGTGTGCTGCGACTACGCCCTGCACATGGGCATCACCTGGTGGGCACCAAAGGTAAGAAGAATGTGGGTGCGCTGTGGGTGGAGTTGCTGAAACATCTGATTTCGGAGCTTCTGCACCTGTAGCCTTCAGACCTGTCTGACCCGGGCCCTAATCTGTGTTTGGAAACTGTGCGGGGTGGGAGTCCAGTATTTTCAGAAGGAGAGTGCTACAGCTAAAGTAATTATTTAGTACAGCTGTGGAGTCCTGCTAAGACCCATGGCCTTTGACCTGTGGGGTCCTGCAGGGCTCCATTCTATCCATGCTTTTCAATATCTACATGAAACCGCTGGGTGAGGTCATCTGGAGTTTTGGAGTTGGGTGCCATCTGTATGCAGATGACACCCAACTCTACTACTCATTTCCACGAAATTCCAAAGAAGCCTCCCAGACCTTGAACCAATGTCTGACAGCTGTGATGGACTGGATGAGGGCTAACAGGTTGAAGCTTAATCCAGACAACACAGAGGTCCTCCTGGTCAGTCGTGGGACCAACTGGGGTATTGAGTGGCAAGCTGTGCTCAATGGGGTTACACTCCCCCTGAGGGCACATGTCCGTAGTTTGGGGATCCTCCTGGATTCAATGCTGTCGCTTGATGCTCAGGTGTCGGCAGAGGCTGAGAGGGCCTTTGCACAACTCAAACTTGTGCGCCAGCTACGACCATACCTCATGAAGTCTGACTTGGCCAGGGTGGTCCACGCCTTGTTTACATCCAGTCTGGACTATTGCAATGCACTCTACATGGGGCTACCCTTGAAGACGGCCCAGAAATTACAACTGGTACAACAGGCGGCAACCAGGCTTCTGTTTCTCTAAGGAGGGAGTTGCCTACTACCAAGACTTGTTTACTTTCAGGATTGACAGGATCCCTTTTGTGCAATGTAGTGTGTAGGTCCCCAGAAAGGTGGTCCTGTTGATGTGAATTGTGTAGGTGTAAAGTGTTGTTCTCCTCCTCGACATCCCCGGTGCATTTGTCAAGGACAATCCATTGAGATTCATCCAAGAGCCTATCGTTTTCCTGTATGTGTTCCTGTTGCACCTGGTCTATGGTTGGGGATGGTACACCTGCATGATTGTTCACGTTGTGACTCTGTGTTTTGATGTTATTGCTTGGAAACTGCCGGGGAGATAGAGCGGTATATAAATAAATTTGTTATTATTGTTGTTGTTGTTATTGGAACATGGGATGTAGCTTCAGTCTGTTTCACTCCATATTGGCTGCTTTGTTTGGTGGCGCTAGCTCTCAGGTGTTTCAGGAAGGATCCTTTCATTCTTCTGACCTAGAAATGGTAGGAATTGAGCCTGGGACGTTGTGCTTTGGAAGCTGCCCGTGTTCTAACTCAGACCCTTGGCACTGCCAAATCTGGGGTGCAGCCATGGCTCTGTATTGCACTGGGTGGAATCCTTAATTATTCCTTGAGATCCCTCGTCTTGTCTCCTGCTGGTTTCCCATCAGGGAGCACCAGCCGGTTGGTAATTCTGGCTGGATTAGAGACACCTCTCCAGCCATCTTGTCCCCAAATCCCTGGCCCAGGATGGGTGATGTGATCCCATTAAGCCTCTTGTTTGGGGGCTTTTGTGGAGCTCAGCGCTGTCCTCACCAGCCCCAGACGAGTTGTCTGCTTGGTCTGCCTTTCCCTTCATTGTTTGCTCCCACCACCTTTCCTCCATCTTTGCCTGTCTCTGAACTATGCTTATCCTCCCTGGTGATGATGGACCAGGCAGGTGACGTTGGCTAAGTTTCCCCACTCCAGTTGAATTTTTTTTGGACTCTGAGAATTGCCTCTCCCTTTTTAATTCCCTGCCCTTTGCCTTCCCCACGGTCTCCGTTCTCACTGCTTCTTTTTCTAAACAAACACGCGTGTTCAGGCCTTGGTGTGTAGCTCACCCTTGGGAGTAACACAGTCCTTCCTTTCCCATCTTACTCCCTGTCATACTCCAGGCCTGGAAACACCTATGACCACCGCAACACACAACAATCCAGGAATATAAGCAAACATAAAAAGTATATAAAACTCAGGAATAAGGAAGTTAGATATATAACCCAAAAAGGTTTCACAACAGGTAATAACCAAACAATAATCCAAAAGTCTCATAAAGTTCCAGAGGCGACAAAGTCCAGGAACAGCCAGAAAACACAGATACATCATAAGTCCACAAGCAAGAAGGTATAACTAGTAAAGACATGAACAGGAGTACATGAATAGGAACATAGAAAACTTCCAGGATATATTTTAAAAAAAAACCAGAAACAAGAGAACTCAGGCTTAGCTTCTCACTCTAACGCAGCGTTGCCTGAACTGATCTTAAGGTAAACAACTTGCTGTTTAATAGACACCCATGAAAGCATTACATCTCCCATGAATTTTCCTTACAACTTTCACACATAATCTCTCTGACAGATTTTCAGCTCTGATTTGTAAACGAAGGATTTTGTTGATCTCGTAGCTACAAGCGGTTTCTCCTGGGAACCCTCCTTATCACTCAACTCTTCACTCGATTCCTTATCTGCTGTTGCTACTTCTGACTCCCCTGAAAGGCCTTGAGCCCCTGCACTTTCTGAGCCACTTTTCTCACAGAGAGAAGCATCATTTCCCAGACTTGAATTTCCCAAACTTGGGGGCCCATCACTTGAGCTCTTCACTCGATTCCTTATCTGCTGTTGCTACTTCTGACTCCCCTGAAAGGCCTTGAGCCCCTGAACTTTCTCAGCCAGTTTTCTCACAGAGAGAAGCATCATTTCCCAGACTTGAATTTCCCAAACTTGGGGGCCCATCACTTGAGCTCTTCACTCGATTCCTTATCTGCTGTTGCTACTTCTGACTCCCCTGAAAGGCCTTGAGCCCCTGAACTTTCTCAGCCAGTTTTCTCACAGAGAGAAGCACCATTTCCCAGACTTGAATTTCCCAAACTTGGGGGCCCATCACTTGAGCTCTTTACCCGATTCCTTATCTGCTGTTGCTACTTCTGACTCCCCTGAAAGGCCTTGAGCCCCTGAACTTTCTCAGCCAGTTTTCTCACAGAGAGAAGCATCATTTCCCAGATTTGAATTTCCCAGACTTGAGGGCCCATCCCTTTGTGCCACAGGAAAGCTCACAATCCTCTCTAAATCTTGAGTTCAACCATCAGCCTCTGACTGATCTACAACACTCCCATCCTGTCCCTGTGCCCAGGTGAAGTCGGAAATGGAGACCTTGGTGCGGGAGAAGGGGGTCAACTCCTTCCAGATGTTCATGACCTACAAGGACTTGTACATGCTACGGGACAGCGAACTCTACCAAGTCTTCCGTGCTTGCAAAGACATCGGAGCCATTGCCCGCGTCCATGCTGAGAACGGCGAGCTGGTGGCTGAGGTGAGCAGTGGGGTGCTGTGGGGTGAGAGGGCAAGAGCTTCAGTGGTACCCATAAAGATGAGGACAGAGCAGGGAATGTGCGACTGCATGACCAAGCGGTGCGATTTTCGGAGCTTCTACCACAGTGGTTCTCAACCTTCCTAATGCCGCGACCCCTTAGTACAGTTCCTCATGTGTTGGTGACCCCCAACCATAACATTATTTTCGTTGCTACTTCATAACTGTCATTTTGCTACTGTTATGAATCGTAATGTAAATATCTGATATGCAGGGTGTATTTTCATTCACTGGACCAAATTTGGCACAAATACCCAATATGCCCAAATGTAGTGGGGTTGGAGGACGATTGATTTTGTAATTTGGGAGTTGTAGTTGCTGGGATTTATAGTTCACTTATAATCAAAGAGCATTCTGAACTCCACCAGCGATGGATTTGAACCTAATTTGCCACACAGAACTCCCATGGCCAAAGGAAAACACTGGAAGGGTTTGGTGGGTATTGACTTTGAGTTTGGGAGTTGTAGTTCACCTATATCAAGAGAGTACTGTGGACTCACGCAATGGTGGATCTGGACCAAACTTGGCACAAATACTCAATATGCCCAAATGTGAACACTGGTTGAGCCTGGGGGAAATAGACCTTGACTTTGGGGAGTTGTAGTTGCTGGGATTTATAGTTCATTACAATCAAAGAACATTCTGAACTCCACCAACGATAGAATTGGCTCACACTTCCCACATGGAATCCCCATGAACATCAGAAAATGCTGTGTTTTCTGATGGTCTTTGGTGACCCCTCTGATACCCCTTCACGACCCCCTCAGAGGTCCCGACCCCCAGGTTGAGAAGCACTGTTCTACAACCAAGGCTCTTATTTCAATGGGTGCTAGCTTGGGCAAACTTTGGCTCTCCGAGTGTTTTGGATTGTGAGGCCACCGTTTAACCCTCTTCTTGCTCTGGTTCCTGTTGCAGGGAGCCAGGGAGGCCTTGGACCTGGGCATCACTGGCCCGGAGGGAATCGAGATCAGCCGGCCAGAGGAGGTAAGGTCTGGACGTGTGTACAAGAACTGCCCTGTCTCCCCACTTCACTGGAAAACCAATGGATGGGATGTGTTGCCCTGAATGGTCTCACTCTTCTTGCAGCAGCAGATGGGTCTGGGGTCCCTTGAGACCCTGTAGAAGAGGCTGAGAAGAGGCTGGTGGGGAGGGGAGGGAGGGGTGCCCTTTCCATGCTTTCCTCAGCCCTGGCCATCTCTTGGAAGAAGGACAGGAGGTTGAGAAGAGTAGGCAGAAGAGGGACTTCACCCATGCAAAATGGGGTGCATGTCAGAGTGAGACCCTGGGGTCTACGCGCAGCGGAATTGAGGCTACCAGATCACACAGATGCAAAACAGGACTCACTGCAGTTTTCAGTTTCAAAAGCAACAAAGTTTACTTAGCACATCTTAAGACAGGTCTACTTCCAAGCGGGCTACATCATGAACACTACAAAGCACAGCACACAACAGTTTCCAGTTTCCAGAACATGTGCTTATCTCATTTCTCTCTGGCTGGATCCTCCCTTTTTCTTCCCAGGCAGGAAAATTTGTTATCTAACTTCTGTCCAGGTCTTTACTCTCTCTGCCTCTAGCAACAACAATTCTAGCATACAATTGATCATAACTTAATCCATTTTGAATACACATGAACACCATAGTTAAACATATTGAAGCACATTGAAAAACATACATGCATACTTTCAATAATCCCGACAGTGCAGCCCTCTTGAACTGAAGGGCTCTCCATTCTGAGTGGGTTCTTGGGTGGCATTTTGGAGCTGATTGGGGTGGCAGTGAGGTCGAAAGGTTGGGGGTGGCAGTGAGGTCGAAAGGGTCTCCCATTCCCTCCTGCTTGGCTCCTGGTTCCACTCTGGTCTGGAGAACAAGCCCTATGGGGAGCGGCTTAAAGAGTAGGGCATGTTTAGCCTGCAGAAGTGAAGACTGAGAGGAGACATGATAAGGGCCATGTTCAACATCTTTATTAATGACTTAGATGAAGGGCTAGAAGGCAGACGACACCAAATTGGGAGGGATAGCCAAGACTCCAGAGGACAGGAGCAGGATTCAAAACGATCTTGACAGATTAGAGAGATGGGCCAAAACTAACAAAATGAAGTTCAACAGGGACAAATGCAAGATACTCCACTTTGGCAGAAAAAATGAAATGCAAAGATACAGAATGGGTGACGCCTGGCTCGAGAGCAGTACGTGTGAAAAAGATCTTGGAGTCCTCGTGGACAACAAGTTAAACATGAGCCAACAATGTGATGTGGCGGCAAAAAAAGCCAATGGGATTTTGGCCTGCATCAATAGGAGCCTAGTGTCTAGATCTAGGGAAGTCATGCTCCCCATGCTCTATTCCGCTTTGGTTAGACCACACCGGGAATATTGTGTCCAATTCTGGGCACCACAATTCAAGAGAGATATTGACAAGCTGGAATGTGTCCAGAGGAGGGCGACTCAAATGATCAAGGGTCTGGAGAACAAGCCCTATGAGGAGCGGCTTAAGGAGCTGGGCATGTTTAGCCTGAAGAAGAGAAGGCTGAGAGGAGATATGATAGCCATGTATAAATATGTGAGAGGAAGCCACAGGGAGGAGGGAGCAAGCTTGTTTTCTGCTTCCCGGAGACTAGGACGCAATGGAACAATGGCTTCAAACTACAAGAGAGGAGATTCCATCTGAACATGAGGAAGAACTTCCTGACTGTGAGAGCCGTTCAGCAGTGGAACTCTCTGCCCCGGAGTGTGGTGGAGGCTCCTTCTTTGGAAGCTTTTAACAGAGGCTGGATGGCCATCTGTCAGGGGTGATTTGAATGCAATATTCCTGCTTCTTGGCAGAATGGGGTTGGACTGGATGGCCCCGGAGGTCTCTTCCAACTCTTTGATTCTATGATTCCTGACTGTCAGAGCTGTTCAGCAGTGGAACTCTCTGCCCCGAGTGTGGTGGAGGCTCCTTCTATGGAGGACTTTAAAGAGAGGCTGGATGGCCGTCTTCAGGGGTGCTTTGAATGCGATTTTTCTGTGTCTTGGCAGGATGGGGTTGGACTGGATGATGGCCCATGAGGTCTCTTCCAACTCTAGGATTCTAGGATTCTGTATTGTGCCAGCCAAGCACAACGATCACCACTGGTCAAACTGGTGGATTTCTGCCCTGCTTCAAGCCCAAAGCCAATGTGTGACTTCCTGGTCTTGGCCAGGGTTCCCTGTCCATCATTAGGCCAACCCTCATGGTGAATGCAGTTGGGCACCACTGGGGTGGAGGAAGGAGAACGTGATGAGACTTGGTTGACCCAACTAAACATTGTTGTCTGGGGAGGCTGGGCATGGGAGTGTTGCCTGGGCTCCAGTTGGCAGGGCCATCATCATCATCACCATCACCATCATCACCTTTCTCTCTTTTATTTGTGTCTTCTCACGTTCCAGTTGGAAGCCGAAGCTACGCATCGAGTCATCACCATTGCTAACCGGGTAGGTAACCACTCTTTCCTCTCTGCTCTGGCTGAACAAAGGGCCACTTTCACTTTAATAATAATAATAATAATAATAATAATAATAATAATAATAATAATAATAATAGTCGAAGGCTTTCATGGCTGAAATCACTGGGTTGTTGTAGGTTTTTTCGGGCTATATGGCCATATTCTTGAGGCATTCTCTCCTGACGTTTTGCCTGCATCTATGGCAAGCATCCTCAGAAGTAGTGAGGTCTGTTGGAACTAGGAAAGTGGATTTATATATCTGTGGAATGACCAGGGTGGGACAAAGGACTCTTGTCTGCTGGAGCTAGGTGGGAATGTTTCACTGACTGCAGAGGGAAGCTGATGAGGAAACACAACATACAAACTATCTCCAGACCCACCAAGAAAATCCAACAAATGCTCCGTTCAGCAAAGGACAAGAGGGATCCTCTCACCTCTGCGGGAGTCTACCGTGTACCATGCAGCCGTGGACAAGAAGTCTCCAGAGGGACCCCCAAACGCAGCGTTGCCCAGACACGGATCAAGGAACATGAAAGACACTGCAGACTACTTCAACCAGAGAAGTCAGCCATAGCAGAGCACCTGGTGAACCAACCTGGACACAGCAGATTATTTGAGAACACTCTCCAACAACCACCATGTCAGACTACACAGAGAAGCCATTGAAATCCACAAGAAGCATGTGGACAATTTCAACAGAAAAGAGGAAACTATGAAAATGAACAAAATCTGGCTACCAGTATTAAAAAACTCCAAAATTACAACAGCAAAACAGCAGAGGAAAAACAATCAGGCACATCTAATCACCTCTCAACAAAAGATCGCTCCAGGCACTGCCAGGCTATCAAATGCTAATCAAGGTGGTCAGTTGAAACATTCACACCTCCCTCCAGCAGACAAGAGTCCTTTGTCCCACCCTGGACATCATTCCACAGATATATAAACCCTTTTTCCTAGTTCCAACAGACCTCACCACCTCCGAGGATGCTTGCCATAGATGCAGGCAAAACGTCAGGAGAGAATGCCTCTAGAACATGACCATATAGCCTGAAAAAACCTACAACAACCCAATAATAATAATAATAATAACAACAACAACAACAACTTTATGTATACCCTGCTCCATCTCCCCCAGGGGGACTCAGGTGTCTTACACGAGGCCACGCCCATCAATACAATAAACACAGTATTACACAAAAACATAAAATGCAAAAACCAATATGATAGACAACACAGCAATATGAAATCAAACATCAGAACACAAAGGAATTTCACTCTATACTGCTTCATACCCAAACCACTGTGTATGTAGCATAGTGTAGTGCTGTGAGTGTTGGACTGTGACTCTGGAGAGTGAGGCTTGGGTTCTGCTCAGCCGTGGAAACTCACTGAGTCACATTCTCTCAGCCTCGGAGAAAGGCAATGACAGCAAGTCTCCTATGAACAAATCTTACCCAGATAAGGGTTGCCTTCAGGGTGCCACAAGTTGGAAATAACTTGAAGGCACACAGCAGTAATACCTGTGGCACTTACTATGAGGGTTGAATGAAAAGTAATGCCTCCACTGTCATAACTTCTCGACAAATGGCAGTACTGGGTATGCGGCAGGTACCGGCTTGTTCAGGAGACTCTCCTCTACAGTTACATTTGGGTGGGAAGTCTTAGTATTGAATGGTTGTGTTGTTAAAGTGCAAAGTATGGAACCCTGCGCAGACTCTCAGTCAATGCAACTTAAGGAATGCGCAGTCATTGAATTCTTGACAGCATAATAATAATAATAATAATAATAATAATAATAATAATAATAATTATTATTATTATTATTATTCTGGCCACCAGGGGAGCTGTCGCTTCACCGTCCATTTGTGACACAGATGGAGTACTTTCTCATTCTTTGCATGCTTGCTGGAGATTTTTATAGTGTCGTAAATTAGTTAAATTAGCCTCCCCGCATAAGCGGTACCTAAATTTCCTACTTGACAGATGCAACTGTCTTTCGGGCTGCAAAGGTCGACAGCGAGCTACACAATGGTCGGAAGCTCACTCCGACCCAGGCTGGCTTTGAATTCATGACCTTTTGGTCAGTAGTGATCTAATGCAGCTGACTCCCAGCCGGCTGCGGCACAGTCCTGTGCCCAGACCTGCCGCCTGGAAGAGGTCTGGGGGATACACAGGTCTGGAAGATCTTGTTGGACTACGGATCCCATCATCCTCCAAAGATGGTTCTGGCAATGTTAATGAGGAAGGATAGGACAGACACACAGAGGTTATTTAACACTCCAGCTTTTTCATGAGGGTATTCTGGCCACCAGGGGAGCTATCACTTCACCGTCTATTTCTGACACTGATGAAGTACTTCCTCATTCTTTGCATGCTTGCTGGAGATTTTTATGGCATCGTAAATTAGCCTCCCCGCATAAACAGTACTTAAATTTCCGAGCCATCGGTGGTGCAGTGGGTTAAACCCCTGTGCCAGCAGGACTGAAGACCGACAGGTCGCAGGTTCGAATCCAGGGAGAGTGTGGATGAGCTCCCTTTATCAGCTCCAGCTCCTCATGTGGGGACACAAGAGAAGCCTCCCACAAGGATGGTAAAACATCAAAACATCTGGGCATCCCCTGGGCAATGTTCTTGCAGACGACCAATTCTCTCACACCAGAAGCAACTTGTAGTTTCTCAAATCGCTCCTGACATGACAAAAAAAACCCCCTACATTTCCTACTTGACAGATGCAACTGTTTTTTGGCCTGAAAAAGTCAACAGCAAGCTACACAAATTAGTCAGAAACTCACTCCAACCCGGGCTGGCTTCGAACTCATGACCTTTTGGTCAGTAGTGATCTCCCGGCCAGCTGCGCCACAGTCCCGGTGCTTAGGTGGACAGTAAGCTAGGCTTAGCAGTCGGGTGCTCAGTCTGACTCGGGCTTCGAACTTGCCACCTTCCGGTTGGCAGTGATCTATTGCTGCTGGCGATTAACCAGCTGTGCTACAGCCCGGCCCATAATAATAATCCTCTACTAGCCTTTCTGTAGGGGATAATTAGAGAACAGTTCCGTGATGCGACACCCTCCTCCCTCAATACTGTCTCTGGTGTTGGTCCATACGAAGAGGCCTCAGTTCTAGGTTTCAGGCTTCTTTAATGCCCCAACCCCCCTGCAAGAGGGATGGGAGGGGGTTGCTGAACAACTACACTACACCTCAGGCTGAGGTCTCTTCTCTTTCCTCTTTTGCCAGACTCACTGCCCTGTCTATCTGGTCAACGTTTCCAGTATGTCTGCCGGAGATGTCATCGCCACGGCCAAGATGCAAGGTGAGAGCAGCTCCCTGGAGCCAGAGATGGAGAAGCGCTTCTCCCTTGGTGCACCCTTCCTGTGGAAAACAACACATTTTTGTGGGTTATTGTAGGTTTTTTCGGGCTATATGGCCATGTTCTAGAGGCATTCTCTCCTGACGTTTCGCCCTCAAAGGTAGTGAGGATGCTTGCCATAGATGCAGGCGAAACGTCAGGAGAGAATGCCTCTAGAACATGGTCATATAGCCCGAAAAAACCTACAACAACCCAACAGGTTTTTGTCTTTGTGCCAATTCTAGTCATCAATTATTTTGTTCCCTTTGGCAAAAAAACAAAAACAAATAGTTCTCCCTGTTTTCTTCAGTTTTTGGAGAGAAAACAAATATTTCTGTGCAATATTTGCCCAGTTTGCAGGCATCCTCAAAGGTTTGGGAAGTCCTTCCTGCACAGGAATAGGCATGGGTCGTTTTGCAGAAAGCCCATCAACCAAAAAAGAACATTCTATAAATAGCAAAGCAAAAACAATGTTAAATGTTCTTCCAAAAAAAAAGAAAAACAACAACTATGCATTTTTCCATGCAGAATAATTTCACTTGGGATTGTGGGGCAGGGGAGACTGGATGAAAATACCCTTTCTAACTGGATTCCAGTTTTCCAACTGGGGAACAAGTAACAATGAATGTCCTTTTCATTCGTAAACAAAAGATTAGACAAATTCACGATGGGCTTTGTCTCCATTCTTCCTTTAGTGCTGCAGGGTTGCGTCCTGTGCCCGGTCCTGCTCAGGATCTTTATTAACGACTTAGATGAAGGGTGAGAAGGCAGGATCATCACGTTTGCAGACGGGACCAAATTGGGAGGGAAAGATTAAAATCATTTTCTGTTGCATCGTCCAGTCGTTCCATGAGTCTCAATTAATCAGTTATACTGCGTCTGCAAATGCCTGCTCAAACAGCCAGGTTTTAACTCTCTTTCGGAATGTTAGGAGGGAGGGAGCCTATCTACTATCCCTAGGGAGGGTGTTCCATAGCTGGGGGACCACCACTGAGAAGGCTCTGTCTCTCGTTCCTGCCAATCAAATCTGCGAAGAAGGCGGGACCGAGAGCAGGGCCTCTCCAGACGATCTTAAGCACCTAGATCAGTGGTTCTCAACGTTCCTAATGCCGTGACCCCTTAATACAGTTCCTCATGTTGTGGTGACCCACAACCATGAAATTATTTTCATTGCTACTTCACAACTGTAATTTTGCTATTGTTATGAATCATCGTGTAAATATCTGACATGCAGGATAAGTTTTCATTCATTGGACCAAATTTGGCACAAATACCCAATATGCCCAAATTTGAATGCTGTTGGGGTTGATGGGGGAGTTGATTTTTGTTATTATTATTTGCTGGGATTTATAGTTCACCTACAATTGAAGAGCACTCTGAACTCCACTAACAATGGAATTGAACCAAACTTGGCACACAGAACTCCCAGGACCAACAGAAAATACTGGAAAATGTTGGTGGCCATTAACCCTGAGTTTGGGAGTTGTAGTTCATCTATATCCAGAGAGCACTGTGGACGCAAACAATGATAGATCTAGACCAAACTTGGCAGGGATATTCAATATGCTGAAATGTGAACACTGGTGGAGTTTGGGGAAACTAGACCTTGACATTTGGAAGTTGTAGTTGCTGGGATTTCTAGTTCACCTACAATCAGAGAGCATTCTGAACCCCAGCAACAATAGAATTGTGCCAAACTTTCCACACAGAACACGCATGAGCAACGGAAAATACTGTGTTTTCTGATAGTCTTTGGTGACCCCTCTGACACCACTTCGTGACCCCTCCAGGGGTCCCGACCCCCAGGTTGAGAAACACTGACCTAGATGGTTCATAGGGAGAGATGTGTTCGGACAGGTAAACTGGGCCGGAACCATTTAGGGTTCCGCATTTCTGTGTACAAACCCACACAATCTCTTCGATCATCTGGAGAGGCCCTGCTCACGATCCCACCTGCATCGCAAGCGCGATTGGTCGGGACGAGGGAGAGGGCCTTCTCGGTGGTGTCCCCCCAACTCTGGAACTCACTTCCAAAGGATATCAGGCATGCCCCAACATTGGCAGTCCTTAGGAGGATACTGAAAACGTGGCTGTTCCAGTGTGCCTTCCCGAAATAACGAAATAATTCCCAGCAATATGTCCTCAGAATGCACTTTAACTATTGGATTGCGTTGGACTGCGCTCCCCTCACTTCTTTATTTATTGATTTATTTGCTGTATTTGTATACTGCCTTTCTCAGCCAATTGGCGACTCAAGGCCATTTCCAACAAATCAGTATACATAAAACATAATAGATAAAAAACATTAAACAGTATAAGACATCACAAAAGCAATAAAAGCAACATCATCAGCGTCTCATTATTCTCAAGCATTGTCCAATTCCATTGTCAGGTCATTCGATTTCCTATATTTGCTACTCTGTATTTGTAAATGCTTGCTCGAATAGCCACGTTTTAACTTGCCTCCGAAATGTCGAGAGGGAGGGAGCAGATCTGGTTTCCCTAGGGAGGGCATTCCATAGCCGAGGGGCCACCACTGAGAAGGCCCTGTCTCTCGTCCTTGCCAAACGTGCTTGTGACGAAGGCGGGACAGAGAGCAGGGCCTCCCCCGATGATCTTAAAGTTCTCAGTGGTTCATAAGGGGAGAAACGTTCGGACAGGTAAGTTGGGCCAGAACCGTTTAGGGCTTTATAAGCCAAAGCCAGCACTTTGAATTGTGGCCGGTAGCAAACTGGAAGCCAGTGGCGCAACAGAGGAGTTGTGTGCTCCCTGAGTGCCGCTCCTGTTAACAACCTGGCTGCTGTCCGTTGGACCGTTTGAAGCTTTCGAACAGTCTTCAAAGGCACCCCCATGTAGAGTGTGTTGCAGTAGTCTATACAGGATGTAACCAGAGCATGGACTACCCTGGCCAAGTCAGGCTTCCCAAGGTATGGGCGCAGGTGGCGCACAAGCTTTAACTGTGCAAATGCTCCCCTGGTCACCGCTCAAACCTGGGGTTCCAGAGTCAGCGATGAATCCAGGAGAACTCCCAAGCTGCAAACCTGTGTCTTCAGGGGGAGTGTGACCCCATCCAACACAGGCAGTCACCCTATTCTCTGTATTATTGAAGGCTTTTATGGCCAGAATCACTGGATTGTTGTAGATTTTTTCGGGCTATATGGCCATGTTCTAGAGGCATTCTCTCCTGACATTTCGCCCGCATCTATGGCAAGCATCCTCAGAGGTAGTGAGGTCTGTTGGAACTAGGAAAATTGGGTTTATGTATCTGTGGAATGACCCAGGTGGGACAAAGGACTCTTGTCTTCTGGAGCTAGGTGTGAATGTTTCAACTGATCAACTTGATTAGCATTTGATTGCCTGGCAGTGCCTGGAGCAATCTTTTGTTGAGAGGTGATTAGATGTCCAGAGAAGTCAGCCATAGCAGAGCACCTGAGGAACCAACCTGGACACAGCATATTATTTGAGAACACAGAAATGCTGGACCACTCTCACAACCACCATGTCAGACGACACAGAGAAGCCATTGACATCCACAAGAAGCAGGTGGACAATTTCAACAGAAAGGAAGAGACCATGAAAATGAACAAAATCTGGCTACCAGTATTAAAAAACTCTAAAATTAGAACAGCAAAACAGCAGAGAGGAAACAACCAGGCACATCTAATTACCTCTCAACAAAAGATTGCTCCAGGCACTGTCAGGCAATCAAATGCTAATCAAGGTGATTAGTTGAAACATTTCCACCTAGCTCCAGAAGACAAGAGTCCTTTGCTCCACCCTGGTCATTGCACAGATATATAATCCCCTTTTCCTAGTTCCAACAGACTTCACTACTTCTGAGGATGCTTGCCATAGATGCAGGTGAAATGTCAGGAGAAAATGCCTTTAGAACATGGCCATATAGCCCAAAAAAACGTACAACAACCCACCCTATGCTCTGTTCGGCCTTGTGACTGACCAGGAGTAGCTTTGTCTTGTCTGGATTCAATTTCAATTTGTTCACCCTCATCCAGTCCAACACAGCTGCCAAGCACCAGTTCAGGACCTGAACCCCCTCCCCACAGAATTCATAGAATCATAGAATCAAAGAGTTGGAAGAGACCTCCTGGGCCATCCAGTCCAACCCCATTCTGCCAAGAAGCAGGAATATTGTATTCAAATCACCCCTGACAGATGGCCATCCAGCCTCTGCTTAAAAGCTTCCAAAGAAGGAGCCTCCACCACACTCCGGGGCAGAGAGTTCCACTGCTGAACGGCTCTCACAGTCAGGAAGTTCTTCCTAATGTTCAGATGGAATCTCCTCTTCTTTGCTCTAACGTCAAAGGGGGGGGGGGGTGAAGGGAGGAGACAATGGCTAGCAGGAAGAGTAAAGACAAAGCCCTTTTGGGAAACATGCATCGGAATGTGGGGGAAGGAATCCCTCAGCTTAGCCCTGCCTCTAGCCTAGCTACTCACTGAGGACTGGAGACTTGATGGCACAAGAGACTTGTGCAGTCCAGGCAAGAAACCCAACAGCCAGGATCACGTATCCAGTCCCTGAGGCCCTTCCCCTCTTTGCCCCCCTGCAGGAAAAGTGGTTTATGCGGAGACCACCACGGCACACTCCACCCTGACCGGCTTGCACTACTACCACCAGGACTGGTCCCACGCAGCGGCCTACGTGACGGTGCCTCCCTTGCGGCTGGACACCAACACCTCCACCTACCTCATGAGCTTGCTTGCCAAGTAAGGGGCTTCTGGGTCGGTCAGTGGGGTGTCCAGGCATAACCTGGGAGGCACAGGAAAGCGGATGGGACAGGAGGGAGGGCGTCCGGTGCCTCAGTCTGAAGGAGACATAGTTTTATAAGACTTGAATTGCCATATAGGACTATAGCTCCCATCTGTAGAGGGTAGATGGAAGTATAGCTTGGAGAAAGAGCTGTCACAGCAGCCTTCATGCCTATCCTCCCTATTCTTTCGCACAGCATTCTTGCTGTAATGTCTTGTCGAAGGGGAGCTAGCTGAGCATGGGCCTTCTGGCAACAGTTACATATAGTTTTCTGTGCAGGAGTTCACTAGAATAGCTTTGCTTCTGGGCTCCTGAAGAAAATTTTTCACATGTATTATCAAAGGCCTTCATGGCCAGAATCACTGGGTTTGTTTTAGGTAAGCATAGACCATAGTAACAGAGAGATGTTTTAGGTAAGCATAGGCCAATCAAATGGATAGTATGTTAACACCAATCAAGATGTGCTTTTTGGATTTCTGTAACGCAATAAAAGATCGTAACCCCATTTTGGAGGTGCGGCAGTCTTTTCATGCCTAGAGCGCATCTGCCACCATTTGCTCTGGCCGGCAAATAAAGCTATTCTTCAGGGAGATTCAACTCGTTGGTGTGTCCTTCCGCACCACCCTTCCGAGCCAGAAGGGAACTTCTGAGAACGTGCAGAGTGCGTGCCCCTTCAAGGCCATGGAGGGCCCTGTGGAGTGATGAGGACAAAAGTCTGTGGGAAGAGAGAAGGTGGCTTTTCACAAAGGTGCACAAAATCATCTGGTCAGTTTGACATTTGACATCACAGCATCCCTATGTCTGTGTATATATAAGGTTGCTTCCTCCCAACCTCACGAGCCATTTTCTATCCTCCCTCCCTCCCTCCCTCATTTCTTTCCTTCCTTGCCTGCCTCCCTCCCTTCTTTCTTGCTTCCTTCTTTCCTTCCTCCCTCCCTCCCTTCTTTCCTCCCTCCCTCCCTCCCTCCCTCCCTCCCTCCCTCATTTCTTTCCTTCCTTGCCTGCCTCCCTCCCTTCTTTCTTGCTTCCTTCTTTCCTTCCTCCCTCCCTCCAACCCTTCCTTCATTCCTCCCTCCCTCCCTTCTTTCCTCCCTCCCTCCTTTACCCGCCACGTGTTGCTGTGGCCAATCTTCCCTCTTTCCCTCCTTCTTTCCCTTCCTCCCTCCTTCCTTCCTTCCTTCCTTCCTTCCTTCCTTCCTTCCTTCCTTCCTTCCTTCCTTCCTTCCTTCCTTCCCTCCCTCCCTCCCTCCCTCCCTCCCTCATTTCTTTCCTTCCTTGCCTGCCTCCCTCCCTTCTTTCTTGCTTCCTTCTTTCCTTCCTCCCTCCCTCCCTCCAACCCTTCCTTCATTCCTCCCTCCCTCCCTTCTTTCCTCCCTCCCTCCCTCCCTCCCTCCCTCCCTCGCCTGCCTCCTGCTCCTCCTTCCTCTCCCTTCCTTCCTTCCTTCCTTCCTTCCTTCCTTCCTTCCTTCCTTCCTTCCTTCTCTCCCTCCCTCCCTCCCTCCCTCCCTCCCTCATTTCTTTCCTTCCTTGCCTGCCTCCCTCCCTTCTTTCTTGCTTCCTTCTTTCCTTCCTCCCTCCCTCCAACCCTTCCTTCATTCCTCCCTCCCTCCCTTCTTTCCCTCCCTCCCTCCCTGCCTGCCTGCCTGCCTTCCTTCCTTCCTTCCTTCCTTCCTTCCTTCCTTCCTTCCTTCCTTCCTTCCTTCCTTCCTTCTTCCCTCCCTCCCTCCCTCCCTCCCTCCCTCATTTCTTTCCTTCCTTGCCTGCCTCCCTCCCTTCTTTCTTGCTTCCTTCTTTCCTTCCTCCCTCCCTCCCTCCAACCCTTCCTTCATTCCTCCCTCCCTCCCTTCTTTCCTCCCTCCCTCCCTCCCTCCCTCCCTCCCTCGCCTGCCTGCCTGCCTTCCTTCCTTCCTTCCTTCCTTCCTTCCTTCCTTCCTTCCTTCCTTCCTTCTTCCTCCCTTCTCCTTCCTTCCCTTCCTTTTTCCTTCCTTCCTGTCCCTCCTTCCTTCCTTCCTTCCTTCCTTTCCTTCCTCCCTCCCTTCCCTCCCCCTTCCTTCTTCCTCCTCCTCCTCTCCTCCCCTCCCTCCCCTCCTCCTCCCTTCCTTCCTTCCTTCCTTCCTTCCTTCCTTCCTTCCTTCCTTCCTTCCTTCTTCCCTCCTCCCTCCCTCCCTCCCTCATTTCTTTCCTTCCTTGCCTGCCTCCCTCCCTTCTTTCTTGCTTCCTTCTTTCCTTCCTCCCTCCCTCCAACCCTTCCTTCATTCCTCCCTCCCTCCCTTCTTTCCTCCCTCCCTCCCTCCTCCCTCTCCTGCCTGCCTGCCTGCCTGCCTGCCTGCCTGCCTGCCAGCCTTCCTTCCTCCTTCCTTCCTTCCTTCCTTCCTTCCTTCCTTCCTTCCTTCCTTCCTTCCTTCCTTCTCCTCCCTCCCTCCCTCCCTCCCTCCCTCATTTCTTTCCTTCCTTGCCTGCCTCCCTCCCTTCTTTCTTGCTTCCTTCTTTCCTTCCTCCCTCCCTCCAACCCTTCCTTCATTCCTCCCTCCCTCCCTTCTTTCCTCCCTCCCTCCCTCCCTCCTTCCTGCCTGCCTGCCTGCCTGCCTGCCTTCCTTCCTTCCTTCCTTCCTTCCTTCCTTCCTTCTTCCTTCCTTCTTCCCTCCCTCCCTCCCTCCCTCATTTCTTTCCTTCCTTGCCTGCCTCCCTCCCTTCTTTCTTGCTTCCTTCTTTCCTTCCTCCCTCCCTCCAACCCTTCCTTCATTCCTCCCTCCCTCCCTATCTTTCCTCCCTCCCTCCCTCCCTCGCCTGCCTTCTCCTCCTTCCTTCCTTCCTTCCTTCCTTCCTTCCTTCCCTCCCTCCCTCCCTCCCTCCCTCCCTCATTTCTTTCCTTCCTTGCCTGCCTCCCTCCCTTCTTTCTTGCTTCCTTCTTTCCTTCCTCCCTCCCTCCAACCCTTCCTTCATTCCTCCCTCCCTCCCTTCTTTCCTCCCTCCCTCCCTCCCTCCCTCCCTCCCTCCTTCCTGCCTCCTCCTTCCTCCTCCTTCCTTCCTTCCTTCCTTCCCCTTCCTTCCTTCCTTCCTTCCTTCCTCCTTCTTCCCTCCCTCCCTCCCTCCTTCTCCCTCCCTCCCTCTTCTTTCCTTCCTTCCTTCCTCCCTCCTTCTTTCTTCTCCTTCTTTCCCTTCCTCCTCCCTCCCTCCCCTTCCTTCTTCCTCCCTCCCTCCCTTCTTTCCTCCCTCCCTCCCTCTCCTCCCTCCCTGCCTGCCTGCCTGCCTGCCCTTCCTTCCTTCCTTCCTTCCTTCCTTCCTTCCTTCCTTCCTTCCTTCCCCCCTCCCTCCCCCCCCCCCTCTTTCCTCCTCTTCCCTTCCTCCCCCTTTCCTTCCTTCCTTCCTTCCTTCTTTGTTTCTTTCCTTCCTTCCTTCCTTTCTTCCTTCCTTCCTTCCTTTCCTTCTTTCTTTCTTTCTTTCTTTCTTTCTTTCTTTCTTTCTTTCTTTCTTCCTTCCTTCCTTCCTTCCTTCCTTCCTTTCCTTCCTTCTCCTTCCTTCCTTCTTTCCTTCCCTTCTTCTTCTTCCTTCCTTCCTTCCTTCTTTCCTTCTTTCCTTCCTTCCTTCCTTTTTTTCTTTCCCCTTCCTTCCTTCTTTCCTTCCTCATCCTTCCTTCCCTCTTTCTTTCTTTCTTTTCTTCCTTCCACCCTTCCTTCCTTCCTCCCTTCTTTCTCCTCCCTCCTCCTTCTTTCCTCCCCCTCCCTCCCTTTCCCCCCCCTCCCTCCCCTCCTTTTTTTCCTCCTTCTTCCTTCCTTCCTTCCTTCCTTCCTTCCTTTCCTCCCTCCTCCTCCCTCCCTTCCTTCCTTTCATCCTCCCTTCCTTCCTTTCTCCTTCCTTCCTTTTTTCCTTCTTCCTTCCTTCCTTCCTTCCTTCCTTTTCCTTCCTTCTTTCCTTCCTCCTTCCTTTCTGCCCACTTCAAAGAAACGTCGTGGCCTCTGACCACCGAGCTTTCACCACCAAGCAGAAGGCCATGGGCAAGGAGGACTTCACCAAGATCCCGCACGGAGTCAGCGGAGTGCAGGACCGCATGGCCGTCATCTGGGAACGTGGTGTGGTACGTGAGTGGGGAGGGGAGGGGGCCGCCCCTTTCCAGCCTCTACACAAAGGGGGTCCCAGGCAGAGGAAGCAAGAGAATCTTGGTTTTTTGATGTTTCACGGCAACCCAGATTTGGCCCTTAATTCTTTCACCTTGGTGAGAAGGTTCCTCAGCTCTTCCTTGCTTTCAGCCATTGAAGTGGTATCATCTGCATATCTAAGGTTGTTAATGTTTCTTCCAGCAATTTTCACCCCAACCTTGCATTCCTCCAGCCCCGCACATCCTTGCATGATGTGTTTTGCATACAAGTTGAATAGGTTGGGGGAGAGGCTACAACCCTGCCGCACGCCTTTCCCAATCTTGAACCAGTCTGTTGTTCCGTGGTCAGTTCTGACTGTTGCTCCTTGGTCCTTGTACAGATTCCTCAGGAGAGAGGGAAGGGGGCTTGGGATGCCCATTCCACCAAGAACTTGCCACAATTTATTATGATCCACACAGTCCAAGGCTTTAGAAGAGTCAATGAAGCAGAAATAGATGTTTTTCTGAAACTCCCTGCCTTTCTCCATTCTCCAGCATCCGGAGATTGGCCATCTGGTCTCTGGTTCCTCTGCCTTTTCTAAACCCAGCTTGAACATCTGGCAACTCTCGCTCCATGTCTTGCTGGAGTCTTCCTTGCAGGATCTTGAGCATTGCCTTCCTGGCTTACCTTCTACTATTACCATAGCCATATTCAAAGAATCATTGAGTGCGAAGGAATTGCAAGCACCATCCAGCCCTGCAATACAGGAAGACACAACTAAAGCACTCCTGACAAATAGCCATCCAACCTGACCAGGGGCCACTTTGATCAAGGACCACTTTGACCAGGGACCACTTGATCAGTGACCACTTTGACCAGAGACCACTCTGATCATGGATCACTTAGACCAGGGACCACTTGACCAGGGACCACTTTGACCAGGGACCACTTTGACCAGGGACCACTTTGACCAGGGACCACTTAGACCAGGGACCACTTAGACCAGGGACCACTTGACCGGGGACTACTTCACTGGGGACAACTTTGACCAGAGACCACTTTGACCAGAGACCACTCTGATCAGGGACCACTTGACTGGAGACCACTTAGACCAGGGACCACTTTGACCAGGGACCACTTAGACCAGGGACTACTTAGACCAGGGACCACTTGACCGGGGACTACTTCACTGGGGACAACTTTGACCAGAGACCACTTTGACCAGAGACCACTCTGATCAGGGACCACTTGACTGGAGACCACTTAGACCAGGAACCACTTTGACCAGGGACCACTTAGACCAGGGACCACTTAGACCAGGGACCACTTGGCTGGGGACTACTTCACTGGGGACAACTTTGACCAGAGACCACTCTGATCAGGGACCACTTGACTGGAGACCACTTAGACCAGGGACCACTTAGACCAGGGACCATTTTGACCAGGGACCACTTGATCAGGGACCACTTTGACTGTGGACCACTTTGACTATGGACCACTTTGACCAAGAACCACTTTGACCAGGGACCACTTTGACCATTTTGACCAGGGACCACTTGATCAGGGACCACTTTGACTATGGACCACTTTGACCAGGGACCACTTTGACCTCCATGGTGGAGATCAAAGCAAAAACAGATGACCCTGGATCAATTACCTGGACTCCACCTGCCTTCATGCAACTCACACAAGATACCCCGCAAGTTAGGATTCTGACCTCTGCCTCCTGCACTCCTTCTAGGTCGGGGGCAAGATGGACGAGAACCGCTTTGTTGCCATCACCAGCTCCAACGCTGCCAAGATACACAACCTGTACCCGCGTAAGGGACGCATCATCCCCGGAGCGGACGCGGACGTGGTGGTTTGGGACCCCGAGGCCACAAAGTAGGTGGGCCTGAGTGGAAGGGAGGGAGGGAGAGAGGGAGGGAGAAGTAGGGCACAGGGAAGCGCATGAGGATCTGGGCTTCAGATGATATGGAGGGTGGTGGGTTGGGTCTGGGTGACACACCATGGAGGTCAGGTGGAAAGGCAATCAACAAAGAGAAATCCTCTGAATAGAAGAGTGCAGATGGAGGAAGGGTAGATGGGGGGAGAACGCATCTCCCCCCATCTCCCCCATATTAGAGATTAAGATCATCTGGGGAGGCCCTTCTCTTGGCCTCCCTTGCAAGCGCGGCTGGTGGGACGAGGGACAGGGCCTTCTAAGTGGTGGCACAGTATTAAAAGGCATTGAATGTTTGCCTATCTGTGTATGATGTAATCCACTCTGAGTCCCCTCAGGGAGCTGGAGGAGATTATTATTATTATTATTATTATTATTATTATTATTATTATTAAAATCTGGAGTGGATATGCTGCTCCCATCCTGATGTATCTGCCTCCAGCCGCAGCCACAGATTGTGAGTTTATAATCAGAGAGCATAAAGACAGATGGGAGGAGAAATGGGATGTGCAGACAGATTAGTAGGTGAGATTGGGGACAGAGTATTTTTGGGCTTCTCTATGTTTGGGGCTGCCTTTCACTTTGTGCTTTGGGTCTTGACTGGGAGGATTCTGCCCTTGCTTGGTAATGTGTTACAGTAAGTTGTAATAGGATCAAGTATGTGTGTGTGTGTGTTAAAGAAAACCTTATGCTGCTGGGCTGTTGTAGGTTTTTTCGGACTATATGGCCATGGTCTAGAGGCATTCTCTCCTGATGTTTCACCTGCATCTATGGCAAGCATCCTCAGAGGTTGTGAAGTCTGTTGGAACTAGGAAAAAGGGTTCATATATCTGTGGAATGACAGGGCGGGACAAAGGACTCTTGTCTGCTGGAGCTAGGTATGAATGTAGGGACGAGGGACAGAGCCTTCTCAGTGGTGCCCCCTCGGCTGTGGAACGCCCTTCCTATGGACATTAGATTGGCCCCCTCATTAATGGTATTTTGGAGAAAAGTGAAAACCTGGTTATTTGAACAGGCGTTTGGATAGGCAGTGCAATGAATATAGGAAAACGGAGCTACAGATGACGAGCTGGATCATGATTCTAGTTATGAGACGCTAATGAGTTGTTTACTGATGTGTAATTACTTAGTGCATTGTTGTGTTAATTGTTTTTAAATGGTTTGTATGATGCTAGCATTGAATTTTTGCTCTTGCTGTTGTTAACTGCGTTGAGTCGCCTAAGGGCTGAGAAACTGCGGTATACAAATAAAGTAAATAAATGAATACATAAATGTTTCAACTGACCCCCTTGATTAGCATATAATGGCCTGACAGTGCCTGGAGAAAACATTTCCTGAGAGGTGATTAGATGTCCTTGTTTGTTTCCTCTTTGCTGTTTTGCTGTTGTAATTTTAGAGTTTTTTAATACTGGTAGCCAGATTTTGTTCATTTTCATGGTTTTTTCTTTTCTCTTGAAATTGCCCACATGCTTGTGGATTTTAATGGCTTCTCTGTGTAGTCTGACATGGTGGTTGTGAGAGTGTCCAGCATGCTGTTGATTATTATGTGCAGCTGCTAATGTAGGTCAACTAGTAAGCTTGGACCACACCCAGTGGGGTGTAACTGTATGGATTTTAGAATCCAGTTCAGCTTTTGCTCTGAGGAGTCTTTGCTCATGCATTCTGCTCAACCATTTCTACTGCTCTCTCATTTGGATGAAGATGAAGAAACCTTATTCTGTATTGCTTACAAGGACTATGTAAGTTTGTTGCACTGTTTGTTTTTGTTTGCAACATTGCAAGTTTGTGTTTTAACTCTGCTAATAAGAGTAAAGTTTTTCTGTTCTTTTTCCTCTTGCCGGGGTGCAATGTTATTAATAATAAATAATAATAAAACTTTATTTATACCCTGCCACCATCTCCCCAAGGGACTCGGAGCAGCTTACATGGGGCCAAGCCCAACAACACATCCAAAACAATAAGCAATAAACAAAATAAACAATACAATTAATATAACTCACAAGTAGACAATAACACACAGGAATTTAAAAATCTATGGTTGGGCCAGATGTAATAGTTAAAATTTTAAAAATAAATGCTGGACATGAGCAGAGGATGTATCTATTTGGAGGGTTTTAAATCTAAAGTAAGGAGCAACCCAATGGGTAAATAAAGTGCTTCTCAGAGTATTTGCAGGAGATTGTTTCCTTTATTCAGGGAAGACACACTGGAATAGCCACGTTTTCAGGCTCCTCATAAAGACTGCCAATGTGGGGGCTTGTCTGATATCCTTGGGGAGTGAGTTCCAGAGTCGGGGGGCCACCACAGAGAAGGCCCTCTCCCTCGTCCCCGCGAGGGAGGTGGGAGCGAGAACAGGGCCTCTCCAGATGGTCTAAGACAGTGGTTCCCAACCTGGGGTCCCCAGATGTTTTTTTGCCTACAACTCCCAGAAATCCCAGCCAATTTACCAGCTGCTAGGATTTCTGGGAGTTGAAGGCCAAAAACATCTGGGGACCCCAGGTTGAGAACCACTGGTCTAAGAGATTGTGTGGGTTCGTACACAGAAATGCGGTCACGCAGGTTATTGTGTTAATGTTATTGTGCCTTCTGCACTGGACCTGACTGAAATACGCAATGTGCAACATAATGGTTTCTGAAACTAGGGGACACACATAGAGTTATTCGACACCAAAGGAGCAGGGTTAATATCCTGTGCTTTTGGGTTGTTCCTTCAACTTGCTTCTATAGGCAGAAATGATGAAAGAAATATGTGGTGACATGTGGAAGGGCCCAGCCCAAGCCTGGACCAACTTAGGCCCTCCCTCCAGGTGTTTTGGACTTCAACTCCCATAATTCATGTTAGAAATTGTGGGAATTGAAGCCCAAAACACCTGAAGGGCCCAAGTTTGCTTATGCTTGGCCCAGTCCTTTTGAAAGGCCAGTCTCATACCTTTACTCTCCTGAATTCTTCAGCTAAACAGTCCTTCGTTGCTTTCTCCCCGTGCACTCCTGGTTCCCTCACGGCTCCTTCTTCTCCTCCTTCCTTGTGCTTCTTCCATAGGACCATCTCAGCCAGCACCCAGGTCCAGGGCGGGGACATTAACCTGTACGAGAACATGCGCTGCCACGGGGTGCCCCTGGTCACCATCAGCCACGGGCGTGTGGTCTACGAGAACGGCGTCTTCATGTGTGCCGAGGGCACCGGCAAGTTCTGCCCGCTCCGCTCCTTCCCAGACTCTGTGTACAAGAAGCTGGTGCAACGAGAAAAGGTAGGGCCAGGGGTGGGCACGCAGGGGGGCCGGGTTACCCCACTTGGAATACACCACTTCCTCCTCCACACAAAGACCTTGCTGCCCAGGATCCAGGTGGACCACACCATGGGAGGTGGGAAGGCTGTGTACTACTCTTCAAAGTCCTGCCAAAGATTAAGAGAGTCCTAAGTTCCAAGAACGATCCAAAATTAAACCCCTTGAAAGCTTGAGATGGGTCAGGACCACTTGGCATGAATGATACGTGTGGTAGAAATACTGGTCCACCTCCTAAGGTTGTTGTGAAGTCAGGACTGGCATCTCCATGAGGTGGGAAGATGGACATGCTGCCCAACAGCTGTGGGAGGGAGGCGTCTCTTTAATGCATCAAATCCTGTGTTCGCTACATCTAAAACAGGCTAGGATCCTTCCAAACTTGCAAAATGTCCTGCCCCAAGGTATCCTGTGGGGTTTGCCCAGCAAATATTGGCAGAGCAAAGGAGTTGGGGGAGCAGTTGACCCTTTGACGTTTCCTCTTGTTATGGTTGCAAAACAAGGTCCTGTAGAGTGCTTTGAGGATGAATGGATGGAACTGTTTGGATGGTTGTGATATGGCAAGACGCATGGCGTTGTGTCATGGTTGGAAAGGTTTTGGTTCCCCTTGGACCAATGAGCAGCCATAGTCCAGTGCATCAGATCAAGGGAGCGTCATCCTACAAGGGTTGAATGAAAAGTAATGCCTCCACCTTCGTTACTTGGGTTTGGAGGGGAATATTTTAATAAATTATTGTGATATGGTCATTTATTAATGACTTAGATGAAGGGTTAGAAGGCAGGATCATCAAGTTTGCAGATGACACCAAATTGGGAGGGATAGCCAATACTCCAGAGGGCAGGAGCAGGATTCAAAATGATCTTGACAGATTAGAGAGATGATGGGCCAAAACTAACAAAATGAAGTTCAACAGTGACAAATGCAAGATACTCCACTTTGGCAGGAAAAACGAAATGCAAAGATACAGAATGGGGGACAATGCCTGGCTGGAGAGCAGTACGTGTGAAAAAGATCTTGGAGTCCTCGTGGACAACAAGTTAAACATGAGCCAACAATGTGATGTGGCGGCAAAAAAGCCAATGGGATTTTGGCTTGCATCAATAGGAGCATAGTGTCTAGATCTAGGGAAGTAATGCTACCCCTCTTTCTGCTTTGGTTAGACCACACCTGGAATATTGTGTCCAATTCTGGGCACCACAATTCAAGAGAGATATTGACAAGCTGGAATGTGTCCAGAGGAGAGCGACTAAAATGATAAAAGGTCTGGAGAACAAGCCCTATGAGGAGCGGCTTAAGGAGCTGGGCATGTTTAGCCTAAAGAGGAGAAGGCTGACATATGATAGCCATGTATAAATATGTGAGAGGAAGCCACAGGGAGGAGGGAGCAAGCTTGTTTTCTGCTTCCCTGGAGACTAGGACGCAGTGGAACAATGGCTTCAAACTACAAGAGAGGAGATTCCATCTGAACACGAGGAAGAACTTCCTGACTGTGAGAGCCGTTCAGCAGTGGAACTCTCTGCCCTGGAGTGTGGTGGAGGCTCCTTCTTTGGAGGCTTTTCAACAGAGGTTGGATGGCCATCTATCAGGGGTGATTTGAATGCAATATTCCTGCTTCTTGGCAGAATGGGGTTGGACTGGATGGCCCATGAGGTCTCTTCCAACTCTTTGATTCTATGATTCTATCAAATCAAAAGCAGAAATAATCCTTAGGATGTTCCCTTTAACTACCACTATTCAGTTTTCCACAACATTTATTTATTTATTTAAAGCTTTTATATTCGGCCCTTCTCCTCACCCCGCAGGGGACTCAGGGCGGATTACAGTGTACACATATATGGCAAACATTCAATGCCATTTTTGACATACAAACATATACAGACATACACAGAGGCTATATTTAACTTTTTCCGGCCACCAGGGGAGCTGTCGCTTTCATCGTCCATCTGCGACCCTGATGAAGCACTTCCGCATTCCCCGCATGCTTCCCCGCTGGAATGCTTTGCTGGAGTCTTCTTTATAGCCTCATAAATCAGTTAATTTAGCCTCCCCACACTTTAAGGTGGTACCTAATTTTCCTACTTGACAGATGCAACTCTCTTTCGGGTTGCAAAGGTCGACAACAGACTACACACAATTGGTTGGAAACCCACTCCAACCCGGGCTGGCTTCGAACTCATGACCTTTTGGTCAGAGTGATCTTAATGCAGCTGACACTCAGCCAGCTGCGCCACAATCCCGGTGCCTTAACATCGCCAGACCATTTGATACATTTCTGTCAATGATGAATAAGTTTTCTGAAGCCGTCACGGAAGAAGTCGACACTCTTTTTCCATAACCAGCATCTCAAGGTTCTCTCATCCTGGGTACCCATCGTGCACAGATCTTCTGATAGCCAGTCAAAGCAATAATGTGACCCACACGTTCTTGTGAAATGCCAATTATGCTTGAAATTTCTCTCTGAGTGAAACGTCAATCGTCCTGAATCAATCTGTCAACCTTTTGCTTGTGAAACCCTGTGGTTGCTGTCACAGGATGTCCAACTCCTTGTTTGTCACGCATGTCAGATGTTCCCACCTCAACATCTTTAAATTTATTCGCCCAACGACGCACAGTACTTACATTAACACAATCCCCATCAACAGCTTACATTCTCTGATGAATATCCTTTGGGGTGACACCTTCTGCTGTCAAGAATTCAATGACTGCACGTTGCTTAAGTCGCATTGACTGACCGTCTGTGCAGGGTTCCATACTTCGCACTTTAACAACACAACCATTCAATGCAAAGTTTCCCTGCCAAAATGGAACTGTAGAAGAGAGTCTACTGAACAAGCCAGTACCTGCCTCATACCAGGACTGCCATCTGTTGTGGAGTTACGAAGGTGGAGGCATTACTTTTCATTCAACCCTCATAGAACAAGTATGGGCAAACTTTAGCTCTCCAGGTATTTTGGACTTCAACTCCCACCATTCCTCACAGCCTCAGGCCCCTTCCTTTCTCCCCTCAGCCACGGGAAAGGAAAGAGCCTGAGACTGTTAGGAATGGTGGGAGTTGAAGTCCAAAATACCTGGAAGGCCTAAGTTTGCCCATGTCTGTCCTAGGAGAAGACTACAACGACTAGAAGCAAGGGAGACCAGCAGAAAGGAAGGAATCCGGCATCTAGTGCACCCCGTTTGTGTTTTTGTGATTTTGATATTTGAATGCAGAAACGGATATCAAAACAATGTATTGTCGAAAGCTTTCATGGCTGGAATCACTGGGTTGTTGTAGTTTTTGGGCTATATGGCCATGTTCTAGAGGCATTCTCTCCTGATGTTTCACCTGCATCTATGGCAAGCATCTTCAGAGGTTTTGAGGTCACAACTTCTGAGGATGCTTGCCATAGATGCAAGTGAAACATCAGGAGAGAATGCTTCTATAACATGGACATATAGCCCGAAAAACCTACAACAACCCACGGATATCAAAACATGTGTGGCTTTTGGTGGTGGGTTGCAGGGGAAGAAAAGGTTTACATGGGAGAGAAGCTGAAAAAGACCTGTGAGTAATGGAAAGCAAGCTGCTAGATGTGACCGAATCCTTGGCCTTCCTCTTGGTGAGACATGGCAAGGTTGACAGGAATTAGGGGTTCAGTGCACTGTAATTCAACCCCTTTGCCCGTTGAGTTGGACCCTCCTCACAAAGCCACTCTAGCACAGGAGTGGAGAAGAAATATCCCATGGGCATTGTGTGGATCAACAAAGTTTTTTGGGAGAAGAGGGGACTTAATTTTTTGCTTCCCAGTGTTGCATTCTAGCCTTGAGGACACCCTTTTCATCCAGAGTCCAGTAGTCTCTAACTACAGTAATTATAAGATCTATCAACCAAAAGGTTGCAAGTTCAAAGCCCCGGGTTGGCGTGAGCTGCCAACTGTCAGCCTAGCTCATTGTTTACCAAAGCAATTCGAAAACAGCTTTAGCTGTGATTAGAGAAATTAGGTACCATTAAAAGTGGGGGAGGTGTTTTATGACTCCATAAAGAAAAAAGATCAGAAAATGCTGGGCGACCAAAAGGAAGGAGGAAGTCCCGACGGCTCTTTGTTATAGAGGATAAAGCAACAGCACCCCCTGGACTCGAGTCCAACCTTCCATGGCACCAAAAACATCTGGACACTGTTTCAAAACAAACCACCTCCTTCTGTTGTCTGTCTGTGTGTTGTCTATACAAAGCGGCATTGAATGTTTGCCGTGTATGTGAACTGTGATCCGCCCTGAGTCCCCTATGGGGTGAGAAGGGCGGAATATAAATAAAGTATATTATTATTATTATTATTATTATTATTATTATTATTAATGTATAAAACATGTACAAAAGGGGGAAAGGCAATTCTTAAAAAGCAGTAAAAGAGGTGGTATAAAATAGCAGTAGTCCATAAATACAAAGTTCAGTAGTCCTCAAAGGCAAGGTACATGGAATCCAGGAAATCAAGATCAAAGGCTAAATCCATAAGCATAAAAACGATAGCTTTTCAAAGGCAAAACCCTTACAGGAACATAGGTAGATACAAGAGACTACACTCATGAGCATGAGAGCTGAAACAGGAACTCAATTCTATGGCAAAGTTGTCTGCTCTGGAGACACCAAGAAAACATCACTTAATTTAAGCTCAGGCCTGGCCAAGAATTTATTTATTTTATTTATTTCAAAGTTTTATATACTGAGCTTCTCACCTCATAAGAGGGACTCAGCCCGGTTTCCAACCATAAAAACACATACAATCGGTAAAATATCAAAATACACATTACAATAAAACATGTAAAAAGCACATATATTTAAAACTACAGAAGCCATGAGATCATACCTTTGACACCTGAGTTTCAAGGGTTTCTCATGGGATTGCAAGGACTTCTTATTGGAATCTTTCAGATCACCCAATTAATCTATCCTTCACTCCCTCCATGCAGAGGCCTAATCTGCTATTGTGGAAAAACTCCCTGCTAAAGGCCGATTCCCAAGAGAAACGGAACCCCAAACATCCTCTATCTCCTCTGTAGCAGCCAGCACTTCTCTCAGCTCTAAGGCTTGCAATTCAGATCATAGGCTAAACCCATAAGCATGAAAATGATAGCTTTTCCAAGGCAAAATCCTTACAGGAACATAGGTAGACAAAGGAGATAAGACTCATGAGAATGAGAGCTGAAACAGAAACTCAATTCTATGGCAACGTTGTCTGCTCTGGAGACACCAAGAAAACATCACTTAATTTCAGCTCAGGCCTGGCCAAGAAGCCATGAGGTCGTACCTTTGATAGCTGGGTTTCAAGGATTTCTCACAAGATTGCAAGGACTTCTTACAGAGTCTTTCAGATCACCTAATTAATCTACCCTTCACTCCCTCTGTGCAGAGGCCTAATCTGTTATTGTGGGAAAACTCCCTGCTAAAGGCTGATTCCCAAGAAACGGAATGCTAAACATCCTCTATCTCCTCTGCAGCAGCCAGCACTTTTCTCTGCTCCAAGACCTGCAATTCAGCTTGTAGTTCAGCCTGATCACACACAGACTCAGTGAGAAAACTATAATCCCCCTCATCCTCTGAGGATTCCCCAGCATCTTGCTACTGAGCCCCAACCTGGGGAGGGCTGTTTTGCCATGGTCTGCAGGAACTGGTCAGGGCAACCCTCAAATCCCTGACGATTGCCCACTTCTTTATAGAGGGGTCATGGTGGCCCTCAAGTTGCATGTGCTCACCCACCTGGTTTTTTTCAGCCCCCGCCCCCCATTTCTGGGGAAAAAAATCCCATTCAGAAAAAGGCAGCTGAATTTCTACTCAATGTGTATGGCATTGACATAATAGAGTTGGAAAACCAAGGGAGTCTTTTTAGGACTGAAGAGGCATGAGAAGGACACTGTTCTGTCGCGTGCTGGGCCTGTAAAGAATTTCCTTTAGAACAGGACATGCAACCTTTGCCCAGCGGGAAGCCAGGGGGCCCAAGGAGAAGTTCTCAGAGGTTTTCCACCACAAATGATCTTTAGATGGCTTGTGAAGTATAACAAAGTCTTTTATTAATGAACAATCAAACAGAAACTTCTCTTGTCTTCAGTAAAGATAAACAAATGATTCCAGGCTTTTATGCAACTGGAGAATTCCTAATCTTGCCCATGAAGGACAGGCAACTGTCTTCAATAACTTCTTCCTTACTTTAAAGGAAAATCCCCTTTTTAACTTCTCCCAGGCTGACTGTAATCTAACCCTTACTGATGTGGGCTCCACTACCGGGTCAAACTGCTTCTCGAACGCCGAGTGGACCTACCAGTAAAGCCTTAGATGTTCTCCAGCTGGAATTATTTGGTCTTTAGGGCTGTTTCCCTGGAAATCTTTGGAGACTCTTAAGACTGTTCTCCCCCGGTAAGTCTTAAGGGTTGAAGCTTTTGTACAGGGGAAGCTTGCACACGTCCTGTACATTAGCTTTCCTTGCTGAGACTAACTAAAAAAGGCTCCCTTCCCAATTGCCCTGAGCAAGGGGCGGGACCAAAACTTAACGATGATGGACAGGTGACTTGCCCTACGGCTTCAACCAAAGGAAGCCACCTATCTGCAGAGTCCCTGAAACCTTGGACTGCAAGCAAACATTTAATATAAAGCAAATAAAATTGGAGCTCCTGGTATAGCCGTACCAGAACAGACACCCTACCTTCCCACCTTCCATAGAACTTGCTGCCCAGCAGAGATAGGAAGGGCTGACTTTAAAGCATACGAAGGGACAGAAGGGCCCAGTTTCGCACTCACATAGATGCTAAAAGTGGGGAAGCCTTCACCCCAAATCCCTGGGTGAGTTTCAGACCCAGTCCAAATTCTTATGCAGCCACGGGGACCCTATCCTCTGTGTTTGGGGAGCAGGGGGCCATGGTAGCACAGCAGATTAAACCGCTAGCTGCAGAAAAGTTGCTGACTAGAAGGTTAACATTTAGAAGCCGAAGGTCGGAATGAGCTCCTGCTGTTAGCCCTAGCTTCTGCCAACCTAGCTGTTCGAAAATGTGTAATGTGAGTACATCACTAGGTACTGCCTAAGCAAGGAAGTAAAAGGTGATGGCAAACATGACCAGGAGGGTCTACAGACAATAGGCTACTCGGCATGAAAAACTTGAGCACCTCCCCATGGCCAGAGTCGAGCATAGCCTCCAGACACCAGAGATGGAAAGGGAAACCTTTGCCTTTGTTTGTGTATTGTATGTCATTGTTGTTACTATATAAAAGGCATTGGATGTTTGTCTATATATGTGTATACTGTCCCCTCGGGGAGAGAGCGGAATATAAATAAAGTGTATTATTATTATTATCATTACTCTCAATCCACTCAGCTCTTTCACACATCCCCCAGAGATTTAGGGTCTCCCCATTCCCCACATGGCAGCGGGGCAGGTGAGGGATTTCACAGGAAGCTTTTTGGGGGGAGGTCAAGGGGCCTGTGTATTTATTTTTGTGTATTTTTTATTTTCCAAATTAGAGTTTAAAGCTTAAGAGCGTGGACCGCACCCCATACCTGGGGGACGTGGCCGTGGTTGTGCACGCGGGGAAAAAAGAGACGGGGACGCCTCTTGCAGACACCCCCACCCGGCCGGCCACGAGACACGGGGGCATGAGGGACCTCCACGAGTCCGGCTTCAGCCTTTCCGGTAAGAGCAGGGCTGGAGCGGGGATTCGGGGGGAGGACACCGGGGGGTGGGGGGAGCCCCAGACCCCTCTCCCACGCCCCACACACAGACCCAAGGACTTCTCACTGCCTCCCCCACAGCACAGACATCCCATGCTTTAGCTGTCCCTCTATCCTTGCCCCTAGGCTTCTGCGCCCACAGCTTTGCAGCTTCCTCCCCTTTGTGCCCCTCTTCTCGTACGCTTTCCCTGTGCCCCCCCTTCTCAGCTGGACGCATCCTTAACCCCGACTGCTTGCACTGCCTCTTTCCTTTGTTTCAGCTTGGTTTTGACAGCTGTGAAGGGGTGGGGGGCACCTATGTTGTTCACTTTGGGGGAGGGTGGTTTTGTCTTGGGTAGAATTTGTTGGCGTGTAGCAGAGTATCGCAGAAGCTCAGAATAATGGACTCTGGAGTCTCCGGTAAAAGTAGGTTTTCAGCTTTACTTAAGCAGCTCAAAATAGACAACATATACCATCAGCGGACAGACGTGAAGAACACAAACCGAAAGAGATAGGAACTAATACAAACTGCAGCTGGAAGGAAGTTTATCTCTGGCACTCCCTAATCTTTCACAGAGCAAGAACTCAGGGTCACATTCTCACAGCTTGTTACTTTGCTGTTTAACCCTTCTGTATCAAACTACATCCTGGCAATACAATTCTATTACAATCACAATCCTATCACATAAAATTACATTTAAACACACATCATACATGAATTACACACTGACAGAATTGAGGAAGGGAGATGGGGAAGCAAGAATGAGATGTGGAGGAGCAAGGGAAGGAAAATGGGCAACTAGGGCTACCCTAGGGATGTGGGTGCAATGGCAGGAATCGACAAAAACCTTGAGAAATAGGACTAAGACATGGTCTGTTGTTTACACCAAGGAGACAGCTTGACTTTATATATTTATAGATAGGCATGCAAATACAACAGGCATGGGCAAACTTGGGCCCTCCAGGTGTTGGACTTCAACTTCCACAGTTCCTAACAGCCCCTTCCTTTTCCTTTTTCCCTTTCCTTTTCTGCTGTTGTGCATTATTGCCAATGTGTGACTTCAACTGGTGGGAGTTGCAGTCTGGTTGTACCTGCAGGGAACCTTTTTGTGTCCTTGCTCATGCTGTGAACACAGTTCTTGAGGGAATCTGCAGCCCACCTCCATTCTCTCTTCTGCTCATTCCCCTCCTGACGCCTCTTTGTCTCCCAGAGATAACAGCGTTGCTGGGTCTTCCCTGCTTTCTTCGTGTTTCCATCTCCTTTTCCTCTTTCCCTGTTGAATTCCAGGGCAGGAAGCACCTCTGTACTTAACCACCAGACTCCATTTCAATGTCAATCAGCAAAGCAGTTTACTGAATAATGTATCAAAAAAAGTTCAGCAAAAATAGTAAAAAATTCTAAGTCAAAATGTAAGAAATAGTCCACAGTATCCAAGGGACAAGAGTTGTATCAAAAACCAAGAATGCAATAGAATCAGGATACACGAGACAACATAAAATCCAATACCCAGAATTCAGGAACAGTCACTTAAATTTGGAAGCAAGGAACATGAACCACCGGAGACATGAAACTATAATTCTCTTAGCTGGCTTGACTTCAAACTTCAGCATTGACCAGACTGCTGAAAAATCCCTCTGGTCTCTCTTATAAAGCCATGAAATCATGCCGTTTGCCCTGGCACATAATCTGTACCATGATTGTGTGATTCCTGTGCAATGGCCAGGGTTAGAGAATGCCCATGGGGATGCTGCCCCCAGCATGCTCTGGCTCTCCAAGGCTCCCCCATCTCCTTCCAACATGATGGTGCTAACCCCTTGCTGCCCCTCCTGCCCAGCCCTGTGCTCTGTGCCCTCGCCCGCCCTGGACCCCCTGCCCACTAAGTCTCTAACAAGTGCTGTGACCATCGCCAAGTCTCTGAAGCAGCTCACAGTTTGCGAAAACTAAGTCTCCTATCTAACAGCTCATTAACAATACAAAAGATTTTCTAGGGCAGACCCTCTTTCACTCAGACTCAGTCCCCCCAAATCAAACTCCCCCCCCCCCCCCCAAAATCAAAATCCTGGCTATGGGCCTGCACTTGACAGTTCATATTCTGAACTTGCTTGCCTAGAGAAAGACTTATGTAGGCCCCTCTCCGGAATATGGCATTTGCCTTTACTAACTGCAAGCAGACACAGAGTGCTCAGTTTCAGGACTTAAAATTTCATGCTGACTCGCAGGCTCAGCAGGTTTAGAAATCCCATGATCTCCTTCCTCACTAACGTTGGCTGAATTACCACATTCCCCACCTTTTGGGTCTGTAACGGAGGACAGTGTAGGGGAGTCATTCATTTTATAGTGATCTCCTGCAAATGTAACTGCCCTCTTGGTATTTGGGCTTATCAGATGCAAGGAACTAGACATTTTTGTTTCTTGGCTATACACAGCTTCTGAGGGGAGCCGCTATTTACATAACAGCAGGGTGAGAAGGGTAATGTTATAACTTGTCCTGCTATGTCTCCGTACACAAACACACACAAATGTTGCCTCTTGTATTGGTACCTCAATGCTCCCTGGTGTCCTTGCAGTTTGTTGTGCTTTGCTGTGTGTCTATTTCTGTACTGCAGAGAGGTGGCGCCCAAGAGGTGGAATAGCCTGGATTTAGGGTGACTTTTGACCTTCAGAAGGAGGTTCAATTTATTTGAACGCAAGTCAGTGGTAGAGGAGGTAGTCTGCTCCTGTGGTGTGAATATGTGTGACAGGGGATCCTCTTCAATGCCTGTACCACGTATGGTGAGGTGCTCCATGGGGCCAAAGCAGGAAGGTTCTATCTTCCTTGCACCCTGCAGTTTGTTCCTTCATTCCAGTTTTGTGCTTCTATAGTCCAACTGAGTGGGCTAAAGTGTCCTGAGTTGCCCTTCAAAAACGGCCTTAATACAATGTCAAAAATAAAAGAAAAATGCTTGACTTCAGCAAACACAAAGGATAAGCAAATGCAGTTGAAAAATGCAAACGAAAGCAAGGAAGCCTTAATGCAGGCGCAAATTAAAGTCTCTTACAAAGTCCCAAAAGAAACAGCAGTCTTCCATCAGACAACGGGCAATAATCACTAAGTCCTTAGCAGCAAACACAAAGCAGGTTCAATTGGAGTGAAAACCTCGGCATCAGAGTTGTTGTTACCAGCGAATGCTGACTGCTTCTGCTTCTGATTTATAGCCCTGAATTTCCCATGCAGGAGATGCTAGGGTGTCTCCTAATTAGCTCAGCGTTTCTAGCAGCGATTCCAGCTGAACGCCGTTTGTGCTCTGTCTCCTTTCGTCTCTCTAGAAATGTGGGCACTTGTAAAACCTCATCGTCTGATTCTTCTTCTCCCTCCAATTCCTGAGCGCTTCCCTGCTCCCCTTCCTCTTCCGACAATAAGGAATCCCTAACACAAAGTGTGAACTTTGCCTTTACTTTTATGTGTCTTTGAGTTGCGCATGACCTATGGCAACCCTCTGGCAGTTTGCTCCTCTCTGAGGGTTTTCTTATCAGGATTTCCTCAGAAGAGTCATTGGCTTGCCCGTGGTCTTGTCCGTGGTCATCCAGTGAGTGTCAGTCGAACCTTGGATTCCTGGGGGCCGAGCTCCATATTGAAACCATTGTTCCACTGACCTGGCAGATGTTTGCTATTTGGTGACATCTGTCCACGAGTTGAGTTTCTGAAGGTAACCAGGCAGATACCCTTTACTCAAGAGCTAAGCAAGAGGAGACCACCCTCAAGATCCTAAGAGCTATAGAAAGGCAGTTTCCTCCTCCTCCTCCAGTTGGGTTCTTTGCGAAGGATGCTGGGATCCACACTGCAGTGTTGTACCCCTCTCTGCTCTTTTGCATGCTTCCCTGTCTCTGTTTCCTGCTCCTCCTCAGTGTCCCCCTCCCCACTTTGCTATTCCTTGCTCAAGCTTCAAGGCTTCCAACCATTTCTGGACCCCTTGCATGCGGACGGCAGCTCCGAGTCCCTGTTTGGGGGTCTTCCTTCTCAGAGAGTGGTCAAACCATGATAGGCCACCCCTCGAGAGCCTCCAGCCTGACCCATTCCTCCTCTTTCCTCTCTTTTCTCTCACTGCAGGTTCTCAAATCGATGACCATGTTCCAAAGCGAGCTTCGGCCCGGATTCTCGCTCCCCCCGGAGGCAGGTCTAGCGGCATTTGGTAGCTGCCCCGAAGACTTGTCCCCCAACTAAGGACACGGTCACCACCGCCCCCACTTTGCCCGGCTGCCGCCCGCCCGCCCACCCACCCGCCCACTCACGCCCCGCACCCTGTGCGCTCGAGGCGGCCGTGCCTTCCTCCACCGGAGCCGCCCAACAACAACCGGCAGGCGCCCAACGCCCAGCGGACCCTCCCCGGGAATGAGGATGAGAGGGTGGGCCGAAGCCCCCTCCTCAGCCCAACACGGCTGCAATGAACGCAGGGGGAGGGGATGAGGGAAGGTCCCCTGCCTCTTCCCAGTGGAGGGTGGGGGGCTTCCACCCCCCCAAATGCTGCGGGGCGAGGGAGGCTGGCCTGGGGAGGGGGCTGGGCCAAGGGGGCCTATCTGTGCTGGTTCCTTTCTGTTTTGCACGTTGGTTTTTTTGGATCAGTGACATTTGACTTGTTTGTGCATCACGTGGGAAACAAAAAGCATTACTGAAATATGGTGGTTTGTGTGGCTAGCAGTAGGATAGAAGGGGGGGAGGCCCAGGGCAGAGGGGACGGGCCCGAGGGTGCGGGCACCCCACTCACCCCCCACTCACTTCCAAGCAATGCCCACCTTGGCTGCGTGGACGGAGGGGTTTCCGCTGAGTTTTGCCAGAAGAGCTGCCTCCCTCTCTCCTTCCTTCCCTCCTTCTCTCCATCTTCCCCTTCCCCACCTTCTCCCTCGTGGGGTTCGCTGTGGGTGTCTTCCACCCTTCCTCCCAGCAGCCTCCCTATTCCCACTTGAATGACGGCAAAACTGAGGGGGTGTCCCCTCCCTTGCCCCAACCCCTTGCATCTCACTCTGTGTAGCTGTGAGATGTTGGGAAGGTAGCCTGATCGTTAGAGTAGGAGGTGACTGGGAGCAAGAGTACTTCTCCTCCTCCTCTTCCTCCTCCTTGTCCAGCCTCCTCTCAGGCCAGGGTTGTGTTCTCTGCCCCTTTCCCTTGGATAGCCAGGCACGGGGGCTCCCCAAGACCCTCCTCTCCCTGCTCTTTCTGAAGCCACAGAGTCCCAAGGGACGGCCTGTGGGTGGGTCTCGGGAGTGTGCTTGGGGGTAAGAGTGGGAGGCAGGCTACTGTGACCCCTCAGCTATGTCCTCATTGCCCCAGATGCTGGTTCTTGCAGATACAGCCCCTAGAAACCCAGGTTAAGAGGAGAGCAGAGGTCTGAAGACTAGGTTTCCAGCACTACAGCACCCCACCTTTCTCTGTGCTTACTAGTTGCAGGACAAAGCAGCCACACTGGGTTGGGGTAAATCCGATCTTCCACACCTCCAGTATTGTAGTGAGGCAGAGCCCACTCCTGCACTGGCTGGAGCTTGGGCTAGATGGCCTTTGGGTGCCTCTTTCCGTACCATGATTCTGTGATTCCTGTGCAATGGCCAAGGTTAGAGAATGCCCATGGGGATGCTGCTCCCAGCATGCTCTGGCTCTCCAAGCCCCCCATCTCCTTCCAACATGATGGTGCTAACCCCTTGCTGCCCCTCCTGCCCAGCCCTGTGCTCTGTGCCCTCGCCCACCCCGGACCCCCTGCCCACCGGGTCTCCCTCTGACGTAGTGTGAAAATGTGAGCTGTTTCTTGTGCACCTCCTCTCCCCACTAGTTGGTTCCCGTAGGTGTGTGAGGCCAGGTGGCCCCGGCGCGACGGAGTCCTCGGCTCCCAGGACCGCAGAGGAGGACTCGGCTTCGGAGCGCAGCCTCCCCCTCCCCTTGTTACATGTTGGAATAGTCTTGTAATGGCTGTTTTTAGCACCTGCCGTGCGTTTTCTGTTCCTCATTAAAGAGAGTTCTCACGATAACGATAACGAGGCTTCTGCTGCTTCTGTGCTCCTGGATCGGCTGCGGGGTATGAGGGGTAAGGTGGCGAGACTAGCGAGACTAGAAAAAACGGCGAGACTAGCTTCGGAAGGGCAAGGGGACTTCCAGTTTCCTAAAAAAGTTCAAAATCACTTCAAAAAGGTAATATTTCCGACTTTATTCCGAATAAATGGTTCAAAACTCGTTTTGGATGTAGGAGGCACTGGTGGTTCGATTCTAAAGTCAATTCCGATTTTCACAGAAACAAACTGTTCAAAACTTTTTGAAACTTCAGAGACTTCCGAATCGTTAATGGTTTGAAAGTGTTATTTCCTGTTTCATTGGGTGATCTTGAAAGTAGTTGTTTTACTCCAGAATCAAGAAAAAGCAAGCAGAGGGAATTCACTCTTCTCTGGCTTAAAATTGGATTCTCTGGCTTGAGCCAAATGCGGGAAAAGCAAACAGGAGGAAATTCACCCTTCTCTGGTTTATAACTCACTTCTCTGGCTTGAGCCAGAAGCAGAAAAAGCAAACGGGAGGAAATTTAATTCACCCTTCTCTGGTTTATAACTGGGTTATCTGGCTTGAGCCGAGGTCAGGAACCAGAAAATTGGGGGGGGGGGGGGGGGGGGGGGAAGCTGAATCATTTCTGACTCACTTCCTGAGTTGGAAAAAAATTGGCGAGACTAGCTTCGGAAAGGCAAGGGGACTTCCAGTTTCCTAAAAAATCACTTCAAAAAGGTGGGTTAAACAGTGGGTTAAACCCCTGTGCCGGCAGGACTGAAGTCCGACAGGTCGCAGGTTCGAATCCGGGGAGAGGCGGATGAGCTCCCTCTATCAACTCCAGCTCCTCATGCGGGGACATGAGAGAAGCCTCCCACAAGGAAGATAAAAATATCAAATCATCCGTGTGTCCTCTGGGCAACGTCCTTGCAGACAGCCAATTCTCTCACACCAGAAGCGACTTGTAGTTTCTCAAGTCACTCCTGACACAACAAAAAAAAACCTTCAAAAACGTAATATTTCCGACTTTATTCCGAATAACGAAGATTCCGACTGGACCTAACCATGCCTAATTTCTACCGTGGACTCCCTGGCTTGATCTTGGACTGTAGTTCTCTCCTGTCAGTGTTTGGGGTTGAGGTTCATGTCAGGTGGGCTCCAGGGAAAAAAGGGGGGATCGCAAGACGAGAGCCTCTGTTTCCCCCAGTCCCAGTTTCCAAGCATCACAGCTTCCTCTGTGGATTAAGTCAAAGTCTATCAATTCAATCATCAGCTTTCCAATGCCTGTGTGAGGTAGGGAAGTAATTCCTCACTCATTTTCTTCTTATAGGATGCAACAACTCATTTCAGTAACCTGCTGCAAGAAGGTTATAAAAATCCTATTCCCAATCCAGTTGAAACCAGAACTAGAAACGTCACAGACCATCATCAACCTGACAAACAGGCAACTCTCACAAGAACAGGGATCCATACTAGCGAAAGGAGGCAATTTTGCTGTGATTACCACCAGGATCCCAGTAGAAAACATCATTGCTAATGTCGAATCAGCAATTTACTGCCTCCCTGAGGAAGAAGCGGAAGAAGTAAGAGGGGAAACAGCGAGGACCCTGAGAAAGGCAAAACTTCCCCCCAGCAACATAACAAGGAAGGAAAGACAAGCCATCCGTTTGAAATGTTTTTTCAAAAATATTTTTCGAAATCATTTCAAAGTGCAAATGGCCGTCTCTTTCAAGAACCATAATTGATCGGCAGCATGAATTAGCCTTCAGCTTAACAGAACGACTGTATGCAATACTTCAAAAGGAATTCATATATTATTCAGTGGCTCTGGATGAATCAACGGATGCTACTGACTCAGATCAGGGTTTATACTTCTTTTAGGTCATAACAGAAGATTTTCTTTGCTTTCTTTGCTTTGCAAAGACTTTCTTTCTTTGACTTACTTGCTTTGGGCGTTCTTGAGGACAGATGGAATACACAGGATAGATGTCTTCAATGGCTTTCAAGATTAATGTCATGAAGTTGGACTGAATTTGGTAAACTGAGTGAGTGTATGTACAGACAGTGCATCTTCCATGACATGAGGGTTGATTGCTGAGGAAGGGGTGGAGTATTATCAGATCTAGATGCTCTCATTTCTTTTCATTATACCTTGCCTCAGCAAACAAAATTTCTGTGCTAAAACTACCGTATATACTCGAGTATAAGCCGGGGTTTTCAGCCCTTTTTCAGCCTTCGGCTTATACTCAAGGTTAGTCATTATTTTACTCTGTTATTATTATTATTACACTTATTATTTTACTCTATTCATTATTGACACCAAAACACAGTATGTCACAGCAATCGAGATCTATATGCTGAATTTCGTATCACAAAATCACAAGTCAAACACTTCCCAAGCATTTAGGACTGTGATGTATTTTCGAATGATGTGAACAGATCCAAGTCACGTGGCCTCTTGCAGTTGACAGATCGTGATTTTGTGAATGTGTGTTGTTTCCAAATACCAGCTGAGATCTTATGGCATTGTGCTGTCATGCGCTGGGCCTGTGAAGGAGTCTGTAAACAGGACGTGTTTTCTGAATGCCCAACAGGACGCAGGGGGTGCCTCGGCTGAAAGGCCTTTCGGATTTCCCCGCACAAAGTTCTTTTAAAGACTTAGAAAGCTCAACAAAATTCTTTATTGTTGCTTAAATCCTCAATAAATCAAACAAATACTTCAAGGCTTTGAATCAACTGGTGGCTTGCTTAACTCTTGTTCACAAGGGACAGGCAACTTTCTTCATAAACTGTTTCTTCCTTCTACAAGGGAAATCCTTGACCCCTCCCTGGGCAATCTGACTTAAGCTCTGCTGGCGTGGGCCCCTATACCCGAACTACAGGAAAGAAGATTCTATCAAAACATGAGGAAGAACTTCCTGACTGTGAGAGCCGTTCAGCAATGGAACTCTCTGCCCCGGAGTGTGGTGGAGGCTCCTTCTTTGGAAGCTTTAAAACAGAGGCTGGATGGCTATCTGTCAGGGGTGATTTGAATGCAATCTTCCTACTTCTTGGCAGAATGGCGTTGGACTGGATGGCCCAGGAGGTCTCTTCCCACTCTTTGATTCTATGATTCTATGATTCTATGATTCTATGAAACCATGAACACAAGAACTGCAAGGTAATCCAGACGAGCAAAGGCAAGCTTCTTGGTTAATCGAAAAGTTGCTCTGACAAAGGTTTGGTCCCAAACACACTGATTAATACCCTTTGCAAAACATGAAGGCGTTTCTTTGGCCTCTGACCTCCTTCTTGTTAGCTATTCTCACACTCCTTTGAACTCTGAATTCCAAACGGTCAGCCCGATCTAAGGTTCCTGTTTCGTCAAGGTCAGTCTGTTGGTTAGGGTTATCCAGCTTGCCTTCCTGCTCATTATCAGGCTGAGAATTGTCCTCCTTTTCTGAGTCAATTTGCACCTGCCCCTGGCTAGTTTCAGTATCAATAAACTCCTTCCTTGCCGTGGGAAATTGAACTTCCACACCCTGTTCCTCATTGACTATAACAGGGACATTTTGAACCAGATTGTGATCCTGAATCCCATCATCCTCATCAGAGGCACTCTGTGGTTCCAGCTGAGTCACAACACTTACTCTATGAGAGCCAGGCTTTAGCACAGCTGGTAAATCTCCAGCAATGATAAGATCTACCAACTGAATGGTTGCCAGTTTGAAGCCCCAGGTCAGTGTGATTACACCAACCCTGCAAGGTAGGCCAATCCGTTACACTCCCCATCCCTCCCACCTTCGTGAAAATGGGGGAAGGAAGGGGGAGTGAAGTGGGAAGGCAGCAGTCCCAAGGAGGAAACACAGTGGCTGAGCTCTCTCCCTATTCTCTGGGCCAGCATCATTCTATAGCTGCATTGTGGGCTCATTGAAAACAACACAACGTCACAATGCTGCTTTATTGGAATCCTGGCAAAGGACCCGAAGGGAGAAATAAGACCAAAACAACACTCCCACAGTGCTATTTCAGGGAACATCTTTCAGATCCTAGTTATAAGAATAACAAGGAGGAAGAGCAGAGGAAGGAAGATTATTCTTCTATGATTATTCTAAGATGAGAAGGAAAAGAAGAGAAAGTGGCCGTCGCTATTTCCTTCCCGAAGGCAGGCATTAGGCAAAGGCATTCAGGCTTTCAATGGGCTTTGCTGTATGTTTTACATACATTTGAAAATAATCTTAATAGCGTTAAAAGGATTGATGTATTGTTTAAGGCTTTCATGGCCAGAATCGCTAGGTTGTTGTAGGATTTTTCGGGCTATATGGCCATGGTCTAGAGGCATTTTCTCCTGACGTTTCGCCTGCATCTATGGCAAGCATCCTCAGAGGGAGTGAGGTCTGCTGGAACTAGGAAAAAGGGTTTATTTATCTGTGGAATGACCAGGGTGGGACAAAGGACTCTTGTCTGCTGGAGCTAGGTGGGAATATGTATTGTCGAAGGCTTCCATGGCTGAAATCACTAGATTGTTGTAGGATTTTTCGGGCTATATGGCCATGGTCTAGAGGCATTTTCTCCTGACGTTTCGCCTGCATCTATGGCAAGCATCCTCAGAGGGAGTGAGGTCTGCTGGAACTAGGAAAAAGGGTTTATATATCTGTGGAATGACCAGGGTGGGACAAAGGACTCTTGTCTGCTGGAGCTAGGTGTGAATATGTATTGTCGAAGGCTTTCGTGGCTGAAATCACTAGATTGTTGTAGGATTTTTCGGGCTATATGGCCATGGTCTAGAGGCATTTTCTCCTGACATTTCGCCTGCATCTATGGCAAGCATCCTCAGAGGGAGTGAGGTCTGCTGGAACTAGGAAAAAGGGTTTATATATCTGTGGAATGACCAGGGTGGGACAAAGGACTCTTGTCTGCTGGAGCTAGGTGTGAATATGTATTGTCGAAGGCTTTCATGGCTGAAATCACTAGATTGTTGTAGGATTTTTCGGGCTATATGGCCATGGTCTAGAGGCATTTTCTC